GAGTTACGATGGTCATTGTTGGGTTAATTTGATGTTTCCTCACTTTGAGTTACGATGGTCATTGTTGGGTTAATTTGATGTTAACTCACTTTGAGTTATGATGGTCATTGTTGGGTTAATCTGATGTTTCCTCACTTTGAGTTACAATGGTCATTGTTGGGTTAATCTGATGTTAACTCACTTTGAGTTACGATGGTCATTGTGGGGTTAATCTGATGTTTCCTCACTTGGAGTTACAATGGTCATTGTTGGGTTAATCTGATGTTTCCTCACTCGGAGTTACGATGGTCATTGTTGGGTTAATCTGTTGTTAACTCACTTTGAGTTACGATGGTCATTGTTGGGTTAATTTGATGTTTCCTCACTTTGAGTTACAATGGTCATTGTTGGGTTAATCTGATGTTTCCTCACTTTGAGTTTCAATGGTCATTGTTGGGTTAATCTGATGTTTCTTCACTTTGAGTTACGACGGTCATTGTTGGGTTAATCTGATGTTTCCTCACTTTGAGTTACGATGGTCATTGTTGGGTTAATCTGATGTTTCCTCACTCGGAGTTACGATGGTCATTGTTGGGTTAATCTGATGTTTCCTCACTTTGAGTTACAATGGTCATTGTTGGGTTAATCTGATGTTTCCTCACTTTGAGTTACAATGGTCATTGTTGGGTTAATCNGTTTGTACGAGGAATTGAAGTCTTTACGAAGGAGGCCATAAACCAATGGGTTCACAGCACTGGAGCAATATCCGACAAGACTAGCAAGGGTGTTGATACGCCCTGGCACAAAACTGGTGTCCACAACAACGACCTTGATGAGTTTGGTGACGCTGAACGGGGTCATACACACAAAAAATGCCATGACAACCACAAGGAGGCTATTAACAACTTTATTACTCCGACTGTAGTTTGATTTTCTAGAGGCAGCTATATCATTGAATGGCTGTAATGACCTTGATGCTCGCTTCACCTCACGAAGCACTAGGAAGTAGTTGACAAAGAGAGACATTCCAGGCAGAAAAAAGCATAGTGAGAATGCTGTGACAACATAGTAAATTGCCTGCTTTTTCTCTTTCTGCCACTGTATCGCACATACAGCCTCCCAGTAGTCATACTGTACCCACTGCAGTACGACCGGCACCACGGAAAACACCACTCCTTGTACCCACGAGTATGCTATAGCCATGCCTACCTTGTTCTTGCTAATCCACATAGGGTAGGTCATTGGATGGATAACAGCCTGGTAACGGTCAAAGCTGATGAAACACAGGGTCAACATTGAGGTAATCATGAGGCAGTAATTAATAGCACATATAGTAGAGCACATAGCATGGCCAAACACCCAGTGATCGGTGATCAGGGAGCAAAACGAACTCACCATGACTGTTAGGCCATTGGTCAAGTCTGTCACCGCGAGATTTACAATCAGGAAACTAGCCTGCTCCTCTCTTAAACGTCTGTTTACCATGACGGCCACTATGACAGCAATGTTTCCTAACACCGATGCTATTATCAACATCAGAAGACATATTGCAGCAAATGCTATTTCCACATCAGAGCGGACATCCATAACTTGATCCACACTGTCGTAGACCTCAGTAGTGTTAACCGATGTCATGGTAAAGTGTTCAGATGTCGGCGTCACTCACGTTGTTAACACGGAAAGCTTGTCATCAAAACACCCCGATGATTAACCACTTTTGAATTAATTAAAAACTTAGCAGCTTAAGTGTTGATGAATTCCTCAGTTATCTTGGAACAGATCAGATCTTTGGGGACACACTGTACTTAATTAGCATTTGTGCTCCTTACAAAAAAAAAAGGATTTCTGCTGTAATTATCTCTTGTCATTGAATTCTGGAAAACATGATGTTGATATGTGCTTTGAATTAAGTCCTCCTAGATGGACTGATAAGTTGTTCCCTGTAATCGTTATTGATGTTCGTGGTTGTCACTCCAATGTTCCTGACTGTCGTGCATTCTGAGTCGTCCGTTCTGTTCTGTAGAGACAACTGTCGTCTCTTAATCCTCTTTCCTTATCCTGTGTTGGAAAATCTGCGTATAAATGCAAGTAAATATTGATCAATATAAATTAGAAATGAAAATTGATTGAGCTCATTTTTTGATAAATCTTTATGATCAATACAAGATGAACGCTATAAAGATGTGGTGCATTAATTGTTATAGGTCTTTGCAGCCTCTAGTCAGAATATATTTATAATACGGAAACATTGCAGAAACATTGCAACCTATAGTCAGAATATATTTATAATACTGAAACATTGCAGCCTATAGTCCGAATATATTTATAATACTGAAACATTGCAGCCTCTAGTCAGAATATATTTATACTACTGAAACGTTGCAACCTCTAGTCAGAATATATTTATAATACTGAAACATTGCAACCTCTTGTCAGAATATATTTATAATACTGAAACATTGCAACCTATAGTCAGAATATATTTATAATACTGAAACATTGCAGTCTCTAGTCAGAATATATTTATAATACTGAAACATTGCAACCTCTTGTCAGAATATATTTATAATACTGAAACATTGCAGCCTTTAGTCAGAATATATTTATAATACTGAACTATTGCAGCCTCTAGTCAGAATATATTTATACTACTGAAACATTGCAATTGGTTAAAACTGTGTTCAACGTTTATTAACTCAAATGAAGTGAACAATTAACTGATATAGAAATAAAGTATAATTAAAATTAAGTAAAATTAAGTGGAATACATAGAACTGGATTAAGTTTCTGGTATGAACAATTAACTGATATAGAAATAAAGTATAATTAAAATTAAGTAAAATTAAGTGGAATACATAGAACTGGATTAAGTTTCTGGTATGAACAATTAACTGATATAGAAATAAAGTATAATTAAAATTAAGTAAAATTAAGTGGAATACATAGAACTGGATTAAGTTTCTGGTATGAACAATTAACTGATATAGAAATAAAGTATATATAAGTATACCATGTAATCTATTTTGCTACTAAAATTTACTTATAAATAGAATGCACTACACATATCTTGAAATGTTCATAGTTGTTAATAGGACGTAAAACGCAAACAAACCAAAACAAATCATTGATTAGATACAGTTCAATATCATTAATAAATAAACAATTATTGCAATTTATACATTGATGGGAAATTTGTTAGTTTATGAAAATGCATGATTTGAAATGGGTTCTTCAAAAGTAGCATTCCTAACAGAATCACTGGTTACAAAAGTAACAGAAAATCACTTCAGAAATTAGTTTTGTTTGAGTCAATCTGAATGATGATCTCAACTTAACAGCCCAGTTTACACCCTTACAACAGTGATTTTCCCTTACAAAAAGGCATTGTTTTGTAGAAAATTTATCATGATACAGCTGCAGGGTTTTGTGATAAAAATAAAATCTGTAATAAAGTTGGGGGACAGGTCCATTTGTCTGAAATTTTACAGATATTTATGAGTTTTGTTACACATGATAAGTACCCTAGGTAGCTGGCATGTTAACTTGTTATTATTTTTCAAAAATTGCATGTATAACTACATAACTGTATTCTGTCTTTAACATCTATCAAAAGACAGGGATTAGCAATGGAAACTGAATCAGAAGTACAGGTTTTATACTATTAATATCAGGCAGGCATGGGGTAATGGTAATGTGTAATGGTAATTAATTGCAATTAATTACATTTTGTTAAGTAATTGGATGTAATGTGTAATTGAGGATTTTTTCAAGGACACAGGTAATAAGAGGTTATACCTGTATTGATCCTAATTATCCCCTAATCCTGACTTAAGCCTTAGCTATTGTCCTCCTTCCCAGAGACCTGGTAACTTTTTAATAACAAAAGATTGCTACACAGTGAGTACATGTATCACAACAGGGTAGACCATTCTGAACATTCTATCTTTGTAAGGGTGAACTTACAGTGAAAACTACTAACAATGATTTACACCTTCACTTGAAAACTTGAACAACCACATACATTTCTGAAGGTTCAGCTCTCTGTGCAGGATGGACTCGAGTGTTTTGAGCCATTTTGAAATTCCCAAACGCACAAAGGGGAATTTCAAGGCAAAATGCTGCCATTATTTTACCACCATTATCAGGGATGGATACTGAATCAGAAGTACAGGTTTTATACTATTAATATCAGGGATGAATACTGAATAAAATGTACACGTTTCATACTATTAATATCAGCGGCTTATATAATTACTCACCCCAGTCATCAAATTGGCTTGATCCCTACACAATTCTTCGTTATCATTGTTAGTGATTACAAGCACATACTTTTGTAAACTCCAAATGAAAAAATAAATCCACTCCTTTAATTCATGTCATTATCAGTTCTAAATGAGCTGAGAACAATGAAGTTGTTTTTAAAAACATCAAAAAATGTATGCGTCCTCCCGTCTGTCTGAACAACTAGCCGTCTGGTTTTACTTGTAGCCTATGGCCGAGTCATATCAGTATAAAACCTGTACTTCTGGACCTCATCTATGATTATTGGACAGTGCAAGTTATTACCTATATAATCGTCAACGACACCAATGTACTTACTGATTAGCTGTTCCGTAGGTGTGATAGACAGTTCCCCCACTATGTACTGACAATGGAGAGTTTCACAGTTCTAATGTAAATCCTCACTAAAGAGGCATTAACAGCCTATTGGACTGCCTGCCTTTAATACAACTATAAAATACTAACGTCAAACACTGATCGAAGGTGGGGGAACCTGTCACGTTCTGTATTATTGTGTTTGGTTCAGTGTTCTGTTCCATTGTGAACCCTGCCCACTCTCTGATATGTAGTAAACAGTGGTATGATATACCCGTAAATTGCTCAGACTATTAGTAGTGTAATACCTGACATTTAGTACTCATTATTTACTCTGCCATATGTCACTGGGGTCATTTCCAAGATAGAAATAATTGAAAATTATTAGGATCCTTTTAAAATTTTGCACTTCAAATGAATATAAAAATAGCATAAATGCAAACCCTTGAACTATGATTAGTATGACCTATACATTACCACCATATCACCATGTCAGTCAAAAAATAAGATGATGTAAAACGTTTTATTATAAACTGGAAACTACATAATTATGTGTATAATGATGTTTTGTTAAGTATCAGGGAAATATTCAAGGTACCTAATGAACAGTAACATGTACGATCATCAGCTCACTTGGAGTGTCATGAACTCAAAAAAAGGGTTTTAAGAGATGAGATTTTGAAGACTTCTTAAAAACATTGTTGAGTCATAGTCCTTGAGCTTTAAGATATTAATTTGCCTCCCACTACCATACAGGGGGATTTTTCAGGGCCATGTTATTATGAAAATCTATAATTATACTCACAAATTCTCCTCCACCAGTTTTCCTGTATAACACCTATGATTTTTTTTTATTTTTTTTATGATACGTTATGATACTAGCCAAAACAGTCTCCCTAAGACCCTGGCTTTTGTAAAACCCTGAACAATAATACTACAGGGTTATTTTGGTTTTGTTTTAATTTCGATCAGTTTATGAGAGATGTAAGCTATAACAGTGGGTGACTTTGGAATGTTGTAGATCATGATTGTGGTACAAAGAACCAATTCGGACTGGTGGCAGATAAGGAAATCTGATGGCACTGAGGGATTTGTTCCGGCTAATTATGTTGCTGACGTTGACCCAAAGGTCACACAGAAAATAGTAAAGAGGCCCACCAAGGTCCCAGAGAAGATCAAAGTGAAAAAGACTGTCATGAAGAAGGAACTAGTGAAAAAGAAGAAAGAAAAGTCGTCTAAGCTGAGAAGAGCTCCGTCAGGTATTTATGTCTATATTTCTTACACCGTGTAATTACCTGGTATTGCAAGACCTTCAACCATTTTGAGAAATTTGAAAATGAATTTATTTAAGTATGTGCTCTATTTATTGTTACATGATTCTGTTTATTGTGAAGAGATAAAAAACAAAGAAAGATTCTATTGAATGGTTTTACTTGCCTGTTCCCATTGTTTCATAAAAGACAACTCAATAATTTTGTTTGTTTACTCTTGCAGTGAGATCTAAAGCCAACCTTCATTTTGACAAAGACAATGTTGACAAGAGGCAACGCCAAGTGAACGTCACGTACAACAAACTTGTTCGCCTAGCTAAGGTAAAACTAACGATTATGTCACGCACAACAACCTTGCTCGGCTAGCTAAGGTAAAACTAACGATTATGTCACGGACAACAACCTTGTTTGACTAGCTAAGGTAAAACTAACGATTATGTCACGCACAACAACCTTGTTTGGCTAGCTAAGGTAAAACTAACGATTATGTCACGGACAACAACCTTGTATGGCTAGCTAAGGTAAAACTAACGATTATGTCATGCGCAACAACCTTGTTCGGCTAGCTAAGGTCAAACTAAAGATTATGTCACGCACAACAACCTTGTTCGGCTAGCTAAGGTAAAACTAACGATTATGTCACGCACAACAACCTTGTTTGACTAGCTAAGGTAAAACTAACGATTATGTCACGCACAACAAACTTGTTTGGCTAGCTAAGGTAAAACTAAAGATTATGTCACGTACAACTACCTTGTTTGGCTAGCTAAGGTAAAACTAAAGATTATGTCACGTACAACAAAGTTGTTTGGCTAGCTAAGGTAAAACGAACGATTATGTCACGTTCAACAAAGTTGTTTGGCTAGCTAAGGTAAAACTAAAGAGTTTTACAATCATACAACATATATGGACATGTGTACCCTACATTCGCAATAAAAACTCATTTGCCGATTAGTGCAGGTATTGTACTTACTGTGAATATCGTGTTTGAATTATAAGGCATGTACTTGGTTATTTATTTCTCATATAGATGCTACTGTCGTTACCATGTGAATCCGTTTAGGGGGGTGAAATGAAACTTATCCTTGTGCAATTGTTTGTTGTATGCAGGCACGAAGGATTGCGTTAGAGGATGCCATGGCTCTGTTCAAGTTTTACCTCAAGTGTGACGAATTGGAGGCCTGGATGATTGAGAAGGTGGGTTTGCTGTTATGTACGCTTCCTAAAATAGACAATGTTTCAAATTTGAAGAAATCAGAAACATTAGTAACCAGGACCTAATGTCATGTTAAAATGTCACCCGTTATCGATTAAATAATCTTACTTTTAAACAGAAAGTACTGTTTGTTTATGTATGCATACATGGACTTTTAATATTTCTAGGAACAAGTGTTGACCAGTAAGGAAAGCCTAGCAGACAACATGGAGGCTGTTAGAAAGAAGTTTGAGGTAAAACGAAATATGATACAATGGTCATTATAGGTAGAGAATTTCCTCTATAAATGGTAAAATATTTGCTGGATCTGTTTAAAGCCTCACTTGGAGGTGTTAAGTATTCTATCCTGTATGGGTCTAATTAGAAAATAAGTCATACAAAAAGTTAACCTAGTTCTCTAGTTAAATGGAATTCATTATAATGACATCTGTATCTGATACCGACTTTGACTTTTTATTGAAATTTTGAAAGTTAATTTTACATATTAAAAATGAAAATTTTATTTAGTTTACGAAGGTTGAGGAACTTTATTATCCAGTATGCCTGATAAAACATAAGGTATTGGTGTAGATGTCCATTTAAAATTATTTCAGAATCTACTTACCAGTCTCGCTGCTAACAAAGGCCATCTTGACAGCATCAACAAACTGGCTGAAGAGATTGTCAAGTCAGGCAGCAGTCAGAGAGATGGGGTGAAGAAACGCCGCCAGGAAATAAACGACAGGTAAGAAACGCTGCCAGGAAATTAACGATAGGTACGTCGGGCTGGTCATTGATTTTAAAGATTGCTGTTGGAAATATGGATTTGAAATAAGAAACAATAAGGAAGCTCACACCAGTATACAAAAATTAACCAGAAATCAATATCATACCTACACTAAAACAGAGGAGGGATTAAACCCTCACACCACCAAAGACCATAATGGACTCATCCCAATTAATTCATGGTAGAGTCTACTAAAGTTACCAAGGGGTGAAAGGGTTAATATGAGAGTACATCATTCTGTACAAGACATTTACTAAAATGAAGGATGATTAATAGTATGATTCAGATTTATAAAAAAAAACACCACATCTTTGGGCAGGAAATATATTTCTGAATTAATTTGTATGCAGTCAATGGCAGTTGTGTCAAATGAAAGGGTTTGAACCTCATTTAGCATTCAGTACACCTGAATAAAGGGGAATTGTAGTACAGTATAAGTTAAAAGTGTGAGTCTCTTTTAGAGTAGACGGAAGGGCTCAGTAGGGGTAATGGGGTCAGAACCTTGTTTTATTTCTCATACAGTTCTAGTACTTAGACAATGTTAACCCAAATTGGTGCAATTGAACATATGATGACTGGATGTTATTATCAGGCCAATTTGAAATTCAAAATGGCTGCTTGAGCCGCTGATTGGTGAGACATTTCCAAATTTTTCTTTATTTCCATCAACCGATTATATTAAATCAAACTTTATTTGAACAACACTGTCATATTCCTGAACACTTGCTTTCAATTCGCGGTTTAATTAAAATCTACAAGGCTACCCAGTTCTCAGATTGAGACACTTGTACCAAATTTCAATTATACTAGTTAAGTTTTAACCAAAGTTGTCCAAATAATCCTGTCATTGCCATTATCCAGTGTTATTTTAATTAGTTGGTCAATGAAAAATCTGAGACGGCTGTGACAGTCTCATGAAACAGGTGTCAATGCATGCTAGATGAGCCTATTGTTAATTTTCTGTCTTCTGTTTTCTTGTCTGGTAAATGAAAATTACATGTTTTAAAGGGATAAAACAATCTGATAATAAATTCAGCTACGAAAAAATCAGTGTTAGAATATTTTTCAAAATTTCCTAGTATTGCTGATTATTTCCCCTGATTTGACCTAATTAAGATCTGTTTGACCTAATTAAGATCTGTTTGACCTAATTAAGATCTGTTTGACCTAATTAAGATCTGTTTGACCTAATTAAGATCTGTTTGACCTAATTAAGATCTGTTTGACCTAATTAAGATCTGTTTGACCTAATTAAGATCTGTTTGACCTAATTAAGATCTGTTTGACCTAATTAAGATCTGTTTGACCTAATTAAGATCTGTTTGACCTAATTAAGATCTGTTTGACCTAATTAAGATCTGTTTGACCTAATTAAGATCTATTTGACCAAGATCTATTTGACCTAATTAAGATCTATTTCAAAATCCTGATAAATAGTCCCATGCAAAATCATGTTGTGTTTTTTTGTTTTTTTTTTGACAAATAGAGAAGCTTTATTATCATTGACATTCCTGTTACAGATGGGACAGATTGAACCGTCTGAAGATGGAAAAGGAGAAGAACCTAGAAGGAGCCTCAAGGTACGGGTTTTGTTTAATTAACACACTAAAGCATACCGCTGTCAGACTACACTAAGTACGGGTTCTGTTTAATTAATACACTAAAGCATACTGCTGTCAGTCTTCACTAGGTACGGGTTCGGTTTAATTAACACACTAAAGCATACCGCTGTCAGTCTTCACTAGATACGGGTTCTGTTTAATTAATACACTAAAGCATACTGCTGTCAGACATCACTAAGTACGGGTTCTGTTTAATGAGCACACTAAAGCATACTGCTGGCAGACTTCACTAGGTACGGGGTCTGTGTAATTAACACACTAAAGCATTCTGCTGTCAGTCTTCACTAGGTACGGGTTCTGTTTAATTAACACACTAAAGCATACTGCTGTCAGACTACACTAGGTACGGTTTCTGTTTAATTAACACACTAAAGCATACTGCTGTCAGACTACACTAAATACGGGTTCTGTTTAATTAGCACACTAAAGCATACTGCTGTCAGACTTCTCTAGGTACGGGTTCTGTTTGATTAACACACTAAAGCATACTGCTGTCAGACATCACTAAGTACGGGTTCTGTTTAATGAGCACACTAAAGCATACTGCTGTCAGACTTCACTAGGTACGGGTTCTGTTTAATTAACACACTAAACCATACTGACTGTTATGTTTGTGTACTGCTAATAGAGACATACCCTGCTTAAATGCATTTTTGATAGTTTGATTTCATTACTTCTATATCTATGTAGTATATGTTTGTACATGAGATACCAGTATGTAGTAAGAGAATAGGGTCCATGTTGTATAAAGATCTCAACTGTTGCTGATACTTTAATCAGAATATATCAAGCTGGTGTATATAAGATATCGCTTTAAGATATGGTATGGTATGTTGACTTGCAATAGATTCCAATATTTTGCATGTTTCCAATCACCTGTGACATTGTGTGATCAAGCTTTGTGGCCATAGGCATCTAGACAGGGTTATTTATAGGTGCCGTTTTTTAAATAAGTGATTGGTTTTACCTGGCTTTACTTTGATGCGGTGTTGATTATCGTCTTGCAGCATTGAGATGTTCCAATCTACGTGTGATGATCTGAGCGAGTGGATGAAAGACAAAGACGCCAGTCTCAACACTGATGAGGTGGCCAATAACCTCAAGGCCATCGAGGCCCTGCAGCGGAAACATGCTGTAAGTCAGTTTTGTAACAAGCAAGGAGTTTTCTGTAAAGAACAGATATAGTGGTCTTTGTAGCGGTTCAAAAATCATCATTTAAATATTATTATTTTACCTTATCTATGTAATCTTGTTTTTCATTAGTCAATATTGTATCAGGTGATTAAAAACAATTGTTATGTCATCTGCAGTAGCTCTGCATTAAGTCTGATGTTTGTTATGTCGTCCCCAAATCGTTATATTGCCCTCGTCATCCCCTCGTCGTGAGCTTCTCCCGAGTAGTCTCTAGTAGTAATGTACTAATGTACGTACAATGTTTTTAGAGTGGTTCTGGGTAGATGTTCTGTCAACAAAGATGGCTGCTTCGAGCAGATATTGTCTGTCAACTGCAAAAGAAATGCAAAAGATCTTGTAAGAAAAAAGATTAAAAAAATACATAAAGGATAAACAGTGGGTCAATGGAGTCATTCTCAAACTTTCTGCTGTCAACAAACCATGAAAAGTCATTTAAGAGGTTTGATATTTCAACAGGAGACAGTTGCTAGGGTGACAACAACTCTCAGGGCGTCGAATCATCATTTCACCCCATAATGTGGGCATCAATTGTATAATGTAACTTGCATCTTTTTAAATAAAATCAAAATGACAACAGCAACATTGATGTTCACAACCTTGGTAGTCACATGACCACTGGTATTGACCTGTAGGATGGTTAACTGACCATTGGTAGTCACATGACCACTGGTATTGACCTGTAGGGTGGTTAACTGACTATTGGTTGTCATGTGACCACTGGTATTGACCTGTAAGGTGGTTAACTGACCTTTGGTTGTCACATGACCACTGGTATTGACATGTAAGGTGGTTAACTGACCATTGGTAGTCACATGACCACTGGTATTGACCTGTAGGGTGGTTAACTGACTATTGGTTGTCATGTGACCACTGGTATTGACCTGTAGGGTGGTTAACTGACCATTGGTAGTTACATGACCACTGGTATTGACCTGTAAGGTGGTTAACTGACCATTGGTAGTCACATGACCACTAGTATTGACCTGTAGGGTGGTTAACTGACCATTAGTACTCACATAACCACTGGTATTGACCTGTAAGGTGGTTAACTGACCATTGGTAGTCAAGTGACCACTGGTATTGACCTGTAGGATGGTTAACTGACCATTAGTAGTCACGTGACCAATGGTATTGACCTGTAGGGCGGTTAACTGACCATTGGTAGTCACGGGACCAATGGTATTGATCTGTAGGGTGGTTAACTGACCATTGGAAGTCATGTGACCATTGGTAGTCACATGACCACTGGTATTGATCTGTAGGGTGGTTAACTGACCATTGGAAGTCACGTGACCATTGGTAGTCACATGACCACTGGTATTGTTTGTTTGTTTGTTTGTTTGATTTTGTTTAACGTCCTATTAACAGCTAAGGTCATTTAAGGACGGCCTCCCCTGTGTGCAAGATGCATGCGTGTAGTGAATGTGTGTGTNTATTGACCTGTAGGATGGTTAACTGACCTTTGGTAGTCAAGTGACCACTGGTATTGACCTATAGGGTGGTTAACTGACCATTGGTAGTCACATGACCAATGGTATTGACCTGTAGGGTGGTTAACTGACCATTGGTAGTCAAGTGACCACTGGTATTGACCTGTAGGATGGTTAACTGACCATTGGTAGTCACGTGACCACTGGTATTGACCTGCAGGGTGGTTAACTGACCATTGGTAGTCATGTGACCAATGGTATTGACCTGTAGGGCAGTTAACTGACCATTGGTAGTCACGTGACCACTGGTATTTACCTGTGGGGTGGTTGACCATTGGTAGTCACATTACCACTGGTATTGACCTGTAGGGTGGTTAACTGACCATTGGTAATCACGTGACCACTGGTATTTACCTGTGGGGTGGTTAACTGACCATTGGTAGTCACATGACCACTGGTATTGACCTGTAGGGTGGTTAACTGACCTTTGGTAGTCATATGACCACTGGTATTGACCTGTAGGATGGTTAACTGACCATTGGTAGTCACATGACCACTGGTTTTGACCTGTAGGGTTGTTAACTGACCATTGGTAGTCTCGATCACATGTTGTTGTCACATGATTAGAACTAGCTTCAGAACATATATATATCCACATTGCTTGGTTTTATTTTTTGTTATAAATATATGTATTTTATACATTATAAGGATGCTGTTACGTTATACATAGACCTAATGGTAGACATCTTTTTAACATGACTTTCTGTTACAATGAGTATTCACCAAACACCTCAATCATCACCTGTTATTAGAATTTTGTTGGGGGGGGGGGGGTCAAAGATGTATATAGGAATCACCATGTTTATCCGTCTATCCATGATCTTTGTAAGAGCAAGTTTTTCTAAGCTGTGTTGGAATTTGTTTTGTAACTTTACACAGTGAAAGTACATTGTATGTAGATGTGCATGAATAAAGGAGTTTGGATTCAACTGTATTTCCTGTAGTTAAAGCCCTTTAGACTTTCAGCTCCAGAAACGTTGTAAGCACATCTCCTCCTTAACAGTTGGTTGGAATTTTTGTAACTTGAGACAGTGAAAGTACATTTCGTATAGATGCACATGAAGAAAGGAATTTACAATTAAACTTTCTTTCATGGAGTTAAGGCCCTTGTAACTTTCTACTCCAGAAACCGTATAAGTACAACTCCTCCTTAAGAGTTGGTTGGGTTATTTTTGTTATGTAACACAGTGAAAGAACATGATATGTAGATGTGCATGAAGAAAGGAATTTGCAATTCGACTAATTTTCCTCAAGTAATGGCCCTTAAACCTTTCTGCTCCAGAAACCTTGTAAGCTCCTACTTAACAGTTGGTTGGACATTTTTGTAACTTGGCACATTTAAAGTACATTACATTTGGATGTGCATGAATGACTATTTTCCTTGCGTTATGGCCCTTGAAACATTAATTTATGCTCAAGAAACATAAGTGCAAGCGGGGGCCCGGGGGATATCCACTCAGTTTCTCATGTTTTATTCTGTAAATGAAAATGTTTTAGGAATAAGGGGAGACAAATGGCTGGCTATAGGCAACAGGACAAAAACATGTTGTTTGGTTGGCCTTAATGCAACTTCTCGCTTATAATATTGTGTAAGAAATCAAGAATGAATTTCAATAACATGATTACCATTAGCGAAATAAATTCTTACATTGCCTTGTCTTGACTGATTTCTTGTGAGATGGTAGATAACAGCTGTATCAGTGGTTCAGTTATCAGAAAGAATCCGACTTATAAACAGCGACACAAACTGATAATCAATATTTAAAGTTATTAAGCTAAGACATCAAACAGCCATAGCCTTTAATGCACAGCTGATAGCCTTACGTGTCAGGCAGTAAGTAAAGGGAACACTACCTGGGGAGACTTAATGATGTACAATCTGTCCTGTCATTATTGGTGAAAAGTGGCATTTAACTGTACATTATCCTGTACATGTCTAGTGTTCTGTTGTGTTCGTGACAACAACAGGAAGTCATGTCAGAGATAATACTCTGGTACCTGCATGATCATATTGAGTTCAGCAACGCAAAATGTTTCCTTCTTATTGTATTGTATTTTCATTTTGGCAGATTATTGATCAATATGAAATTTGATTGACAGAACAAGAGGTGAATAGAGAAGGGCTCGTTACTGATAATGTCAGACAAACCCTTCTTGTCTATAATGGAAGTCTAGGAACAGTTCATCAATAGATGTTTATAAAATCTCTCCGAAAAAGACTATGGAAAATCAATTAAATAATTTGTAAATGAAAATCTTGCTTCAATGGGTAACAAAGTCTTGCATCATTTTGTATCCGTTCGCAATGAAAGTGTGAGGGGATGTAGGATTCAGCCCGTATGTACGTATGCTACACTCTTTGTCATCACTTTAGCGTCTTCATTCCTCAATGGGATTTCATGAAACTCGATACAAGTGTTTGGTATGACAATGTCTTAAACAAGTTGCATTTCGGGTTAAAGGTCAAGGTCACTTTTACTATTTTTAGAAAGACTTTTGTCATTGCTCTATCGGCTTCATTCCTAAACGGAATTTCATCGAATGCAATACAAATGTTTACCATGACAATACCTTCAACACATTTGTGCAGAAATATTTTTGATGTCACATTTTTGTCGGATTTGCTGAAATGTGTGAATGCGAGGGGATTTGTGTCACTTGTGATGCCTTGTTTACTTATCTAATACTGATGTTTATTAGCTCACCAGGTCCGAAGGACCAAGGTGAGCTTATGCCATACCGTGGTGTCCGTGGTCCGTCCGTCCATCGTCCGTCCGTCAACAATTTCTTTAAACGACTTCATCTTCTTAACCACTGATTGGAATTTAACTAAATTTGACTGGAAGCATGGTGGGGATTCAAAATTGTACAAATGGTGGGGCTGACCACCCAGGGGGCTGAGGGGCGGGGCAAAAAGGGGGCAATTTGGCTATATTGCTTTAAGCGACATCTCCTCTGGAACTAAGAGATGGATATCAACAATATTTGACTGGAAGCATCCCTAGGTGGTGTGGATTCAAAAGGGGGCATTTTGGCTATATTGCTACAAACGACGTCTTCTGTAGAACTATGCACTGGATATCAATCATATTTAATCAGAAGCATTCATGGGAGGCAGGGATTCAAATTTGTACAAATGGTGTGGCTGACCCCCGTGGCGGCTGAGGGGCGGGGCCAAAAAGGGCTATTTAGCTATATTATTTTAAGCGACTTCTTCTCTGGAACTGAGAGATAGATATCAACCATATTTGACTGGAAGCATTCCTAGGTGGTGGGGATTCAAAATGTACAAATGGTGGGGCTGACCCCCCAGGGGGCTGAGGGCTGGGGCCAAAAGGGGGCAATTTGGCTATATTTCTATAAACGACTTCTTTCGTAAAACTATACCATGGATATTGATCATATTTGGTTGGAAGCATTCATGGGAGGCAGGGATTCAGAATTGTACAAATGGTGGGGCTGACCCCCCGGGCTAAGGGGTGGGGCCAAAACAAATATATTACTTGGAAATGGTTGAGATCCCCACCATATAACCATATATACAATTGCTGAGTTTAAAGTGAGGAATGCACATTTGCTTCCAAGATGGCTCTAGGGTCTGGTCCCACCCTTGGAGACTTAACCACTGGGTCATAACTTTGAAACGGTTAAGATCCCCACCCCAAAACTATATATACAATTGTTGGGCATAAAGAGACGAATGCAGTCATGATATTAGAATTGCCCCCAGGGTCTGCCCCACCCTTGCAGACATAACCCCTGGGTCATAACTCTGAAATGGTTGAGATCCCCAACCCAAAACTATATATACAAACGCTGGGCAAAAAGAGACAAATGCAGTCATGATATTAGAATTGATCCTGGGGTCTGGCCACAACCCTAGGGACCTAGTTTCTGAGTCACAGCTTGGAAACAGTTGAGATATCCACCCCATAACCATACATAAAATTGCTGGACATAAAATATCTAATACAGATATGCTACAAGGATTGGCCTTGGGGTTTGGCTAATTCCCTTGGATCTCATTTGGAGAATATTTTGCCATGATTGCTTAGATATCCAGGTGAGCGATACAGGCCCTCTGGGCCTCTTGTTTTTCAAACACTTGCCTAGGCGTTCTGTATTGCAGTATGTCTACTTTTTTTTCTCTTTTTTTTTTTTTAATTGTCTTAGCTGGCAGTATTTTATTGTATGCCATCTGTTGTAATTTCTAGAACTCTAATTATTTTATTGTTGACATATTATCACTGAGACACGATATCATAGATAAGTCTATTAACTGGTCCCTTAAACTTCAGGTAAAGTTCATAAAATGGATGGCAAAAAGGTGAAGTATGTTTAGCTGGTGAGGGCTGTACACATGTACCTTGTAAAGATATTTTAATAAATCTTCATGAACTATGAGAACTTTAGCCCCAAGGTCATGGTTATATTTAGAGATCACTCTTTCATACCATGTGGAAAGAGTTTAATTGATTCTGTTGATAGATGGATGTTTTTCTTTGGACGGACTTATGAATTGTTCCTCTTCATTTTCAGAATTTGGAACGAGAACTGGTTCCTGTAGAGGAGAAAATGAACAGAATGAATTACCTGGCTGACTCGTAAGTAACACAGACAGATATAAACACAAAAGGCACAAAAGCAAGATACAGGTGATACACAAAAAAATAGAAAATACAAAGACACAATTCAAATCCTGTTCAGAAACAAGATACAGGTGACATAATCTTGGACCAATATTAACCGCCGCTTCCCATTTGTGGTCACATGACCATTGATTGTCATATGTTCCTTGGTGGTCACATGACCTTCAGCAAGCATGAACATTGTTAATGTAAATTTAAGATGAAGTTAAAGCATTTAATCTTCAAGAAGATTGTTGCAAATCTTTGCCAAAACTTTTGCTACTATTACCACATTATTGATCCCTTTTGTACAATATCTAACATGAAATAATAAGTAGGAATTGGGTAAGTCTGGATTAACTAATTGTTGAATTTCAATAACTTCCGTTCTACAGAGTGAGAGCATCCTACCCAGATGAACGAGACTATGTGGATCAGAGACAAAGCGAATTACAGAACATGTGGGACAACTTAAAGGTACAGAATCATCTTAATATCTCAACAGGGTTACTAGCTTACAAGTTCACTTTTACAAATGACCTTGGTCACTACTATACAAGTTTACCTGTAATGTAACTCTGACCTTGGTCGCTAAGGTACAAGTTTACCTGTAACTCTGACCTTGGTCGCTAAGGTAAGAGTTTACCTGTAACTATGACCTTGGTCACTTAGGTAAACATTTACCTGTAACTCTAACCTTGGTCGCTAAAGTAAACATTTACCTGTAACTCTGACCTTGGTCGCTAAAGTAAACATTTACCTGTAACTCTGACCTTGGTCGCTAAGGTATGTGTTTACCTGTAACTCTTACCTTGGTCGCTAAGGTAAACATTTACCTGTAACTCTGACCTTGGTCACCAAGGTAAACAGTTATCTGTAACTCTGACCTTGATCACTGAGGTAAACATTTACCTGTAACTCTGACCTTGATAACTAAGGTAAACAGTTACCTGTAAATCTGACCTTGATCACTGAGGTAAACATTTACCTGTAACTCTGACCTTGGTCTCAAAGGTAAACATTTACCTGTAACTCTAACCTTGGTCTCTAAGGTACCAGTTTACCTGTAACTGACCAGTTACCAAAATTATTCAGAATCTGTTATGTTCAGGATTAAGTGTTCTTTTATTGGTTTAGTCTTGTTGTATGGTTCTTTTTAATTACAGAAAAAGGCAGATTCCAAGAAGAACAAGCTTGGAGACTCGCAAGAACGCCAACAGTTTAATGAAGACGCAAATGATTTGGTAAGTCTTGACAAAGATGTATATTTATGATATATATCTCTTTTGTTCTTATTAAGGTTTTATGAACATGGCCTGCCTAAGGTGTAATCTGATGCTTGTCTTTAATAGATGGCATGGAGTAGCACAATGAAGTCTAAGCTTGCCACCAATGAGATGCCCCGGGATGTACAGATGGCAGAGGTTATGATAAAGGACCATGATGAACTGGCTGATGACATTGAGGCCCACAAACCCAAGTAGGTACACTTGATCTAGGACTAAATGTACACAAAAACAAGTGGCCTTGTTATAAAACTTGGTTACAGGTAATGGAGTCATGCTGAGACCGGAGGTCTTAACTTTCTTTTTTTTTAGTTTAATCTTCATGAACAACTCAATTCACAAAACATGCGTTACATTTTTTTGACAAAAAAGTAACACTGTATACTAAGAACCACACTAAGACAAAGACTAATCGTCACATACACATGAACCACACCTCAATGATACACACACACATTAAAAGAGGCAAGTATTGCACATAATGTATTTCTGAAAATTACCACTTTCCCATCCTAGATACTATTGCAGTTATGTATGTAATATGGCCTTTTCATGCTTTCACCAGCTGAAGTATTATCCAGTGACAACAATGTTATCATTATTATTTGTCATGGCACAGGTTTTAGGTGTTCCTTCTCTCTGCACTAGTGAAGCATTTCCATTATCACTGTTCCTTAATTGTGTGAAAGAATGTTAATCATTATGACGTTTTGAATGAGAAATGTCTGACTGTTTGTACTCTGCAGATTTGAGCAAGTTAAGGCTCTAGCTTGCAGTGTCCTAGAGAAAACACCAGATGCCTCAGATGTAAAAGATAAATTGGGGAAACTGGAAGAAGATGAGAAAGCCATCAACGAAATGTGGCTCCATAGGAAAAACCAGTTACAGGACGCTTACGATTTACAGGTGAGTGATGTCGAACAAGGAAACTTAAAATTTACAGGTGAAAACCATTTAACATGGATTCCTGTCTATCCAGAAAAGGGGGGGGGGGGGGGGAATACATAGCTTTTTTCGGGAAAAATTCTTGGGCTGAGAGGGGGAAAACTCTTTAAAGTCAACAATAGTTATGTTTTCAATGTTGCGACTATAATCATATTTTATCTCTATTCTACAGGCTTTTAACAAGGATGCAGACAACATTGACTCTGTAACAAGCAGCCATGAAAAATTCCTGGAGTTTGCTGACCTTGGGGTAAGCAATAGAGTCCAGATTTTCTCCCACTATTTGAATATACCAGATTTACCACTCTAATTGAACAAAGCTTCCTTGTAAAGTGTTGCATTCTTTCGCAACATTCAGATGTATTTATATAAAGTTGAAATGTATATATATGCAAATATCAAATACCAAATGAACCATACATATTTTCAAATGGTATACATATTGGCCACTTTACTCGAAAGTAAACCAGTCTTGATATTTTATCTAGTAGTTTCCTACCTTTATATTTTACTTAAAAAGAAATCCTAGCTGCCTTGATGTTTTATGTGGTAGGAACCTTATAAGGGATGGTTATATTTTCAGAGCACTGTTGATGGTGTAGAATCATTGTTCAAGCGACACGAGGACTTTGAGAGCACGCTGCAGGCCCAGGATGAGAAGGTGAAAGCCCTGGATGACCTTGCCAGCAAGTTGATTGGGGAGGACCATCCTGACAAGGATCAGTAAGTTCACTAACGATTTTGTATTTAAGTTCATGTAGATGCTTAGGATGCCTCACGATGCACCAACCATTAACGCTTGCTCTATCAATTTTATCAAATTACTTTCAATGAATAAAACTCTTAAAACTGTGAGATATAAGTATCATAATAATACAAAATAAAATATAATTTCAGTTATGGAGTTTGAAGATTTTTAACTGTTCAGAATTATTTTGAAATGATCAAGTTTGAGTAGGAATGATTTTATTAATGTGACATTTCTTGTTTTTAGCATTGATAGCCGTCGTAACCAGGCATTGGAGAGACGACAGAAGGTGAAGGAGAAGGCAAGTGAACGACACAATGCTCTACTGGCTGCTCAGGGATCTCAGGAATTCAAGAGAGATGCTGCAGAGGTGAGTCGACTCCCAGTTCACCACAGTGTCAGTTTTGTAGGATTGTTATTCGTAAATGTCCTGTGTTGTAGCCTCTTCCTGACTATGCCTTTAACTCCTGGATGTATTATTCCTCTCTGACATCATTTCCCATGGGCCTATGCCTAGTGTAACATCATCACCTGCAGGAACCATTCTCTTTAGTGGTCTTTTCCTGTCAATACTTTGTTCAAAGCATATTTAGCTCAGTAAGTCATTATTGCAAATTTTCACAATCCTATTCTAAAGAAATATATAAAAACTAACAACTTTTTTGTACCTCACGTCTTAGGACAATAAATGAGTCACTCCCTCTTTAAACTATAAACTTGCAGTTCTGAATTTCAAAATATGATTTTGAAAATAAACTAAGTGTTATTTCAAATTGTCAGGTTTTTAACACCAAGGCCTCAAAGATATAGTAAGATTTTATCATAGTGTTGACGATTATTTTATTTCCTGAATAGTTGTCATCCTGGATGAAGGAGAAGTACAAGACGGCCACTGACGAGTCTTACAGAGATCTCAACAACCTTCAGGAGAAGCTTAAAAAACACCAGGCTTTCGAGGCAGAGCTCAAGGCCAACAATGAAGGACTGAAGTCTCTTAACGAGGTGGGTATTTTCTGTTAAAATTATATAGACAAAGTTATGGCACATCCACTAACTAACAGATGCAATAAATAGACCAATGCATAAAAATATGACTGTATTCCATCTGAACCAAACAGAAATATAAAAGTGTAACAGGAGAGGAAAATGTACGGCCAGATTGGGGTTTGAATCCAGGATCATCCGAAATCTGGAAAGACGCTCTACAAGTTGAGCTACCTGGTCACAGACAATTGGCCCAGTCCAGTTCTGCCACAAAAGCAAAAAAACAAAGTTTAATGCCGATTAAGATAACTAAGTTCATTGCAAAGCACTCTGTAATATAAATAATTCTGAGTCCTGTTTTAACAGCAATGCATTCACCAGTGTTTGTATGATGTTTTCCTCTGGATACACTCATCCTAGCTGTTGCTATTAGGTTCTCTCTTATCTAACAGTTATATCACTTTCTTATCTAACAGTTATATCACTCTCTTATCTATAAACAGTTATATCACAAGTTTTAATTAATTTGGTTGTGTCTTCAGCAAGGAAATGTCATGATACAAGAAGATCATCCGGCCACTCCAGAGATCAAAGTCATCTTAGATGACCTCAACACTCAGTGGAGGGACCTTTACGATAAGTCCATGGACAAGGGGAACAAACTCCGCCAGGCAGCTCAGCAGTATGCTCTCAACAAGGCACTAGCCGATGCTCAGGTAGGTTGTGCCTGGTGAACTAGGTACTGTGTAGGTAGTTGCTACAAATCATTTTAAGGCTTACCCTGTTTGATTCTTGTATACAATGTAATCTGTATAAACTGTACTATGTTTAATTTTAAACATGTTTAAAGTGATATTTAGATTTAACTTGCAGAATTCTAAATCCTGACAGTGTAAATTATTCCATAATTGGAAATGGTTGAGATAATAAGGAGTATGTTTCATTTATTGTACTTATCCTGTAATAAGCCAAGGGGGCTAACACATAATCTCTATTGAAAGTAGTGGGTTGGGCTTATTACAGAACAATGGAAAAGCTTTTGTTGGCATTTCTTCCTAACTGCATTATGTTTTAGTGGGCTTATTACCAAGCATGGGCTTATTGGTGGATAAATTCAATATTGAAACATGTACATGGTAAATATCTAAAAAATAATGAAACATACAAATTGATTTATGCAATATCTATCCCTTTTATCTTGTGAAGGGCAAGTTGGATGAGATGGAGAAGTCTGTTGCCAACCCTGATGTGGGGTCTGACCTCCGAGGGGTCAAAGCCTTGCTGAAAAAGCACCAGAACCTAGAAAATGATCTGGGCTTGTTAGATGCAAACATCAAGGACATCATTTCCCAGGGCCAGGCTCTGGCTGACTCTGGCCATTTTGATAGTGCTGGTATCCGTAAGGCTGTAGATGTATTTAACACTAGGTGAGTACTACTACAAAATAAAAAAAACTATAAAAGTAATGTTTGGTTTTAGATTACAAAAAAAAAAAAAAAAAGTTGGGGATGCAGTTTTATATTTGTTCGAACTGTTTCAGAATTAATCATAGGGGTGGGATGTGAGGCACTTTTTTTCCTGAGACCACAACACCTGACAAAATGTCATCAGTGACAAAATAATCAGCAGATCTGGTTTTAACCCCACCACCCATTAGATATTAATACAGGTGCTTCTTACATCCCTCATACCTAAATTATGGAACAGTCTTTACCTCAAAATTGTTAATAGGCCAGGAAAAGTTTGAGACCACCAAGGATTAAAAATATATGATTAATAAACTAAAATGGACCTCAAACATATTCATAGCCTAATTTTAATTATCAGACTTTATATTATGATAAACACTGATTATGCGTATATATTTCAATACCAACATTAATTTTGTAATACAGAAATAACTGTGGTGTTGTTCTTCATGGCAAATAAGTAGGACAATAAAACATACTCATTTTGTCACAACTACCGTATTTATCCTCAAACAAGCCCCCACCCCTAGTGAAAAATGATTGACCAAATGTAGGGGAGTGAGGGGCTTAGTTGCAGGCATCTACCCTGTTCCAAGGACTTCTCAAAGTTTGGGAGTGGGCTTATTTGGGAGTGGGTGCTTAATTGGGAGTGGGTGCTTATTTGCAGTCAAATACGGTAGGCATTCATGATATGCTCTTTCTTTTCAGGTTTGAGAGATTGAAGCCAGAAGTGAAGAGGAGGAAAGGCCTGCTTCAGGACTCGCTGCATTTCTATCAGTTCAAGTTTGATGCAGATGAAGAGATCATTTGGATCAAAGAACACCTGCCTGCTGCCTCCTCAACAGAGTACGGCAAAAGTTTGGTGGACGCCCAGAACCTACACAAAAAACACCAGGTACTTGTTAGGCCTCTACACAAAAAACACCAGGTACTTGTTAGGCCTCTACACAAAAAACACCAGGTACTTGTTAGGCCTCTACACAAACAACCCCAGGTACTGGTTAGGCCTCTACACAAAAAACACCAGGTACGTGTTAGGCCTCTACAAAAAAAACACCAGGTACCTGTTAGGCCTCTACACAAAAAACACCAGGTACTTGTTAGGCCACTACTTCAAAGATAACCAGGTACTTGTTAGGCCTCTACACAAAAAACACCAGGTACTTGTTAGGCCTCTACACAAAAAAACCCCAGATACTGGTTAGGCCTCTTCACAAAAAACACCAGGTACTTGTTAGGCCTCTACACAAAAAAAACCAGGTACTGGTTAGGCCTCTTCACAAAAAACACCAGGTATGTGTTAGGCCTCTACACAAAAAACACCAGGTACTTGTTAGGCCTCTACTTCAAAGAACACCAAAGCTAAGCATTCACAACATCAAGGTATTCTAAGAATGTCAAGGTCATTCCAAAAGGTCAAAAATCAATCATGCCAAGAAATGGATTCACCTATACAAGATGAGAAAATTTGATTGAAACATAGAGTTATGCTTCATAAGCGAAGAATTATTTTCATCATTTGATTGTATTATGTACCTATCTATGCCTGTATATCTGTTTCTACCTGTATACACGTCTTTATATATAGAAACACAAACTAGTAATATTTAGTCACCCCACCATCATTCAGAAGGTATACTTACACCTGTATGCTAGTTTAACTAAATTCTGTTACCTGTATACACCTGTATTTGTAGAAACTTGACCTGGAGATCCTAGGCCATCACCCCATCATTGAAAAGGTGCTGGGTACGGGGGAGAAGCTGATGGAAGAACGCCACTCCAGTGCCAAACAGATCAAAGACAAGTGCCAGGAACTACAATTGTCCTGGGATGACCTCGCCAACAAGTCCAAGATACGCAAGAAGAACCTTGACCTCTCCGTCCAGATCCAGAGGGTCAGTATTTGGTCAATGACTAAAAGTGCATAACACTCATTAGAAGACAAAAAAAAGAATGAAATATTTCTATAAGTGAAAAAGCCAAATTTTTGTCAGTTACTTAAATTTGTGAATTTTATGGTACAAGTATTTGTCTAATGTACTGGTGTGTATGACCTTTGTTGACCTTGATCATGTTGTACTACACAGTACCTGTCGGAGGTTGCAGAAGTCGAGAACTGGATTAATGACAAGATGGTGCTAGTAACAAACACAGACTACGGTAAAGACCAGTCGGCAGCAGATAAAATGCTCACCAAGAACAAGGTAGGGATTACTAATATGCAGACTTAAGCAGTGACACATATTTGCATAATTGAGTGACTTAATGGTTTTAAAATTGCAATATCAAGATGTTTTGAGAACATTAACAAAAAAGGGTGTTATTTCATGACTACCATCCAGTCTTCATTCTGGGGTGTTACAATAGGTGACAATACAAGTGTATAGTATATAGATTTGACAATGATGTATAGATAGTATGATACAAGTGTATAGTGTATAGCTATGACAATGATGTATAGATTGTATGATACTGTAGTGAAACAATTAATTACTGTTACCACTGGTCTACCGACAGGTGCTTGAGACTGACATTCAGACATACCAGGGCATAGTAACGGGACTTAGTAAGGAGGCCCAGAGGATCTTCAAGATTGGCTGTCAGGATCCGTCCAGTCTGAGGAAAGCCCAGGTCTGTAGACCATCAGGTCAAACAAGGTTATAACCTTTTAAACAACTGGTTTAAATAGCTTAATAGGAAACTAAATGGCTGCTGATTATTAATCAGTTTAGTAGAAAGTTTTTTGTGATTTGCCATCCTGAATACTTGCTTACAGGAGGAAGGACAGTTTTATCCTATAAGAAATGGAACTTGTAAATATTAATGAAGAAACCAAGATATACAAACAAGGTTCTACTGTATACAGAACCAGATGTTTATTGTATAAATAAATACATGCAGTAAGAAACAAATCCTGATAAAATAAACTAATTCTAAACAAAGCATTCTTGTACAAAATATATCTGACTATATTTAAACTGAAGCATACTTGTTCTGAATGTTGTAAGCTTTGATTAGTGGTTTTATCTTGCATCTTTCTTCTGTAGTTGTAGCTGAGATAGTAATTTAGATTAAGTTGTAGTGAAACAGAAGCACTCCGATCAGATTGATCATAATACCTGATATTAAAACTATTTCTTGTTTAATTTCCAATAATTCTTTTTTCTCAACTAATAGAATTTACTAACTCACTTCTCAATTTTAGGTTATTTTTGATACAGCAGACATATGGAACCTTTGACTTCTTTAGAATAAATATTATGAATATAACTGTGTACTTTTTTTTTAGATGATTGAATCCGTTCGCCGCAAGGTTATCAGTTTTATACAAACTACACATACTGCTTGTCCTTTGATCAATAGCCCACAATTGATTTTACCTATTCATAATCACATCCCCGATTATATTTGGATCAGCCCAATTATTAAATTGATACAGAATGGATTTGTCCCTGTTCTTGTCATAGAAATGCTGTGCACTGTTGCTAGGCTGAAATAAGCAGTAGTATAGAGTTTCTTGCTGTTTCCTCAACATCCCTGTCGACTTCCCACTTATATACTAGCAAACTACCAGATACCACTAATATTTCAAGTTATTTTATCAAACTGATGTTCAGATAATTTTTATACAAATTCAAAAGATTTAATTGATTCAGAGCTGAATCATTTTACCAACAATACATATTTGGTCAAGTGGTGCAGTGGACAAGGCACTCGCTATTCACCAAGGCGGCCGGGGTTTGATTCCCTGATCAGACGTGAACAGGTATATATCGGGTCACATATCCGATCACATGGTTTTTGTTTCCGGGTACTCCCGTTTCCACCCATGCTAAGACCCCCTGTACACTAACATCTGAGCCAACAAGAGTGATTAATATAAGTTGAAATAACTTGTTTCATAAGTGTTGTAAAATAAATAAAGTTCCAAAACGATTTATTTGGCCTTGAAAGTTGGTGATATCTGGCCCTTTCCTTATCATTTCTTACTTACATCTATCTTTTGTGCTGCTATTCTCTCTGGTTAACGCATTTCAACTTCACAGTTACTTGGGATAATGTTCAGTTTATTTGTGACTTGACTGTTTCTGTAGGCACTTGGGATAATGTTCAGTTTATTTGTGATTTGACTGTTCTGTAGGCACTTGGGATAATGTTCAGTTTATTTGTGATTTGACTGTTTCTGTAGGCACTTGGGATGGAGTCATGTTTAAGTTTAATTACATGCACACTATGGAATGTTAGACTAGAAACTGCACTCTGTGGAAGCTTTAATTTTAGTTGGCATTATCTTTAAATTGAAATGTGTGTGTAATAAAAAATGTTCTTTTGAATTCCATAACATGTTAGATTTTTCTGACTAACCATTAATATGTTCCTGCTATTGATTAATTTTCATTAAATATGAACTGTTCTTTATTAAATATACACTTGTATTAGATAGCATAGTATATAGCGTAGTATATAGTTTTTTCTTCCAGTGGAAATTATAAATATACAATATATATATTCTGGAGACCTGCTTTTTAAGAAATTTTGGTTTGCATTTTTATAATCATAAAAATCTGACGATTTTAGGACAATTTGCAAGACTTCTTAAATAAGCTGAAACGCCTTGCAGCCGAGCGAACCCAGAACCTAGAAATGTCTAAATGGATGCATGCTTACACCCGTGAAAGTGGTGACCTCGAGGGCTGGATAGAACAGCAAATGCAGATTGCCTCCTCCGAGGAGTACGGCCAGGATTACGAGTACCTGGTTGTAAGTTTTATACCTGTATGGGTTGTACTTGAGAGAAGGATAATTCATTTAAATTTTGTACAAGAAATTTAGTGTTAAGTATGCCCTAATGATCAATTAGAATAAAATGTTTATAAGCAAAGCAAAATAAAAAAATAATGGTGGTTAAATATACCTACGTTTAACACATTTGATGAACCATGGTTATAGGCCTCAATTAATAGATGTGTTCCTTTTTTTTAATGAAGAAGATATACCATATTTCAGATTTTGAGGAACAGATTTGATGAGTTCAAGAGATCTATAGAGGCTGGTGGTGAGAGGTTTAATCAGTGTGAACGTTTGGCAAAGACTCTGCTAGAGGACAATGTCCCATACAAGGAGCAGGTGGAGGAGAGACAGGATCAACTCAGGTGAGAATACAGTTGTAGGTCAGGTATGTTAGATCATACAGGGAACAGGTGGAGGAGAGACAGGACCTGCTCAGGTGAGAATACAATTGTAGGTCTGGTATGTTAGATCATACAGGGAACAGGAGGAGGTGAGACGGGACCAACTCAGGTGAGAATACATTTGTAGGTCAGGTATGTTCGATCTCAGGATCAACTCAGGTGAGAATACATTTGTAGGTCAGGTATGTTTGATCATACAGAGAACAGGTGGAGGAGAGACAGGATCTTCTCAGGTGAGAATACATTTGTAGGTCAGGTATGTTTGATCATACAGAGAACAAGTGGAGGAGAGACAGGACCTTCTCAGGTGAGAATACAGTCGTAGGTCAGGTATGTTTGATCATACAGAGAACAAGTGGAGGAGAGACAGGACCTTCTCAGGTGGGAATACAATTGTAGGTCTGGTATGTTAGATCATACAGAGAACAGGGGGAGGAGAGACAGGACCTTCTCAGGTGAGAATACAGTTGTAGGTCAGGTATGTTTGATCATACAGAGAACAGGTGAAGGAGAGACAGGACCTTCTCAGGTGAGAATACAATTGTAGGTCTGGTATGTTAGATCATACAGAGAACAGGTGGAGGAGAGACAGGCCCTTCTCAGGTGAGAATACAGTTGTAAGTCTGGTATGTTAGATCATACAGAGAACAGGTGGAGGAGAGACAGGATCTTCTCAGGTGAGAATACATTTGTAGGTCAGGTATGTTTGATCATACAGAGAACAAGTGGAGGAGAGACAAGACCTTCTCAGGTTAGAATACAGTTGTAGGTCAGGTATGTTTGATCATACAGAGACCAGGTGGAGGAGAGACAGGACCTTCTCAGGTGAGAATACAGTTGTAGGTCAGGTATGTTTGATCATACAGGGAACAGGTGGTGGCAAGACAGGATCAGCTCAGGTGAGAAAACAGTTGTAGGTCAGGTACATCTTGATGACTCTTGATATATAGAAACAAAAGGAGAGACAGGTCTATTTCAGGTGGGAACACACCTATAGCTCGAGAGACAGGACCAGTACAGGTGGGAACACACCTATAGCTCGAGAGACAGGACTAGCACAGGTGGGAACACACCTATAGCTTGAGAGACAGGACTAGCACAGGTGGAAACACACCTATAGCTCGAGAGACATGACTAGGTCAAGTGGGAACACACCTATAGACTAGTACAGGTGGGAACACACCTATAGCTCTAGAGACAGGACTAGTATAGGTGGGAACACAACTATAGCTCGAGAGACATGACTAGGTCAAGTGGGAACACACCTGTAGACTAGTACAGGTGAAAACACATCTATAGCACAGACATATACATACTGAATAGGTGAATGAGAAAAGGAATCAACTTTTCTGAAAACTTTGTATAGCTTGGTTATTTCCTGACATCGGTTACTTGCTCAGTCAGTCAGTATTTAGATAGAAGCTGATATAAACTCCTTGTCATGTTTTTGCAGGGAATCCTGGAACAATTTACTGGAGCAGATTGAGGCAAGGGATCAGAAGTTGTACGGGGCTGGAGAGATCCACAGGTTTAATAGAGATGTGGAGGAGGCCCTCACCAGAATACAGGTACCACCCACCTCCTATTAACTCCAGCACAGAGCTTGGCTAGTATTGTCCAGCTGACTGCAGGGAGAGCCAATGAACTAAATGAAAGATCACTGGACTTATAAAGAAATAAAGACATACAAAACTGGCCGTGTTCACAATGTCATATGTACCAATGGTTAATTTAATTTTGTTTGGAAGTTTTGTCTTTTTGATGTGACTATAATGGAAAATAAATATTGATTTCTCAACAAAATTAAGTTCCATGATTGTAGCTTGGTTGTATTTGCATGCTGGTAACAAATTTACAGAGGAAAACTATGCTTATCATCCTTGTATATAATGATCAACCAGGAAAGAAAGCCATTCAGTGTTAACATTAAAGAAGATCTAGATACAATATTGAAGAAAAAAAGTCGGATATAAAGCAGTTTGTTAGAAAGTGTATGGGAAACATTGAATGACTGTAATAACAGATTTTAATTGTTTTATTAGGAAAAATACTCAAGTATACCAGATGAACTTGGAAGAGATTTATTCGCTACACAAAGTTACCTCAAGAAACATGAAGGATTTGAAAATGAACTCATTGCATTGGAGGCTCAGGTTAGTTGTTATAACTACTGAATGTATTCTAAGTATATATCGTAATTTCAGGTACTTTATTTTGAAAATGGAGCTATTGTTTGAATTAAAATAAAACAACCATTTTTCGACAAGACTGTAAATTGTTGAAGAACAGCAGACTGATTTAACCGTTACCTGTGTTTTGTGGCGTGATGTGATGAAATTTTGTCTGGTCCAACAGTTGCAGGTGTTGATTGAGGACTCTGACCGCCTCCAACAGACATATCCGGGGGACAATGCTGCGGAGATAGAGCAGCTCCAGGCTACCGTGGTGGAGAACTGGGGGGTTCTCCAGGACCGCGCTGCACACAGGAAAGAGGAACTTCTCGCAGCATCTGAACTTCATCGTTTTTCAGCAGATGTAAGTGTTTGGGAATACTTCAACTTCTTCAGTTTTGAGCAACTCTTACAGTAATAATGACCCTTGAAAATTAATTGTAATATAGGTTTATCATATCAATATTGTACATGGTTTCACTTGTAACAATGACTGGCAGAGTCAAATTGATCTACATTAAGATGTAGTAATATACAGGATAAACTTTCTTTTATTAAGTAATAATGCATTCACCCCTGAAGACACATTTGAACTCTTCCATTTCAAAGGTTGAAAAAGTTAATTATGAAATTTCAAGGGTGAATGAGTTATATTTCCTTTTAAGATAGAAAATATTTTGGACAATATTTCAGTATTTCAGGAATCTGTATCATGGAATTTTCCTGATTGTTCTGATTTCATCTTCGAAAGAATTCTCTGAAACAATTATACATGTACCATCAAAACATTAAAAGTTTGCTTACACTCCTTTATGACTTGTTGAATTTCTTCTGATGTAGGTACGAGATCTGATGAGCTGGGCCAATGAGACGGAGCATGAGATGTTGGCGGAGAAGCCTGTACGCGATGTACACAGTGTAGATATGCTGAAGGGCCGCCATGAGGAACTCAAGGCTGAGATAGACGCTAGGGATGAGACATTTACGACCATCTGCCAGACTGGCGAGGCCATGATCCAGGCTGATCATTATGCCAAGGACGAGGTATGTGCATCACCTTTAGGTAGAAATTGAAATTATAATTCATCAAAAAATTCTTTAAAACACTAAATTCTTGACTTTTCTTTTAGACTCTTTTTATTTCAAGGCATAGTTATAAAACTTAATCAAACTTTCAAAATGTAATAGTTCACTCAAAAAATTAAGACATGTTTAGTCACTGCCTGTACATGTGTAGAATACATTTTTTGTGTATATGTTGATAGATTGAAACAAAGGTACAGCAGGTGCAAGACACACAGGAGAAGCTAAAGAAGACGTGGGAGGAGCAGAAGGACTACCATGACAAGCTGTATGACCTACACACCTTCCTGCGTGATGCTCAGCAGCTTGATACCATCAGTTCCTCACAGGAGGTAGGTCAGACACTACACTAGATAAGGCTTGGCTTACACTGAAATGGTGCTATAGTTGTAGGAGACACGTAATAGAAAATATATAACATGCCAAAGTCACAGAATTCGTAGAATGGAGAATATTATTTAAAGTTGCTGAAAGTGATTGAGGCAAAATAAATGATGGCTCTTTTGGTCATGTTTTCATGTGTAAACGATGCCTACAAGTTTATATCAATAGTAAGTTTTACGACAATTCAACGGTTACATTTGATAATGATGTAAGCACCGAGTATAGTATAACAGGCTGACACAAAGGCCAATTCTCAGTACCTTCTTGATGCATCATAACAGGTGGAATATTTTTCTTACAAATGAACTTATGGTTAAATATTTGCTGTTCTCTGATTTGCAGGCATATTTGTCCAGCACCGACTTTGGTGCCGACATTGACCAGGTGGAAATGTTCATACGCAAGCATGAAGCTTTTGACAAAGTGCTGGAAGTCCAGGAAGACAAGGTAAGCCAAGAGATTCCTCCATCATATTGTAACGCGGACTAGCTCCCTCATCCTACCTATTCAAGCGACTAGACCCCTATTCCAATGTATTGAAAAGACTAGGTCCCTAATCCTACCTATTGGAAAGACTAAACCCCTACTCAATTGTATTGGAAAGACTAGACCCCTACTCCAATGTATTGGAAAGACTAGACCCCTACTCCAATGTATTGGAAAGACTAGACCCCTACTGACAATGTATTGGAAAGACAAGTCCCTAATCCTACCTATTGGAAAGCCTCAAATTCTCCCACCTTTTAATTGGAAAAACTGAGCATGTTATCCTACTGATAGAAAAGACTAGGCCCTCTGATATCATTTTAAGTGAATGCACCCACAAACTAAACATAATTCCTAACTTATAAATTATGTTGTTTCTGTTGCCTTTCTGTTGGTTAATTCACATTTAATTAAGTGCAACCTCTAAAATCTGTTGTGAAGAAGCTTGACGTTGTGATATAATCATTATTATAATAGGCATGCATGATCTTGTATATATCTACTGCAATAATAGATTAATCAGTCACAGTTTCTGAAAAATAATGAGTTATTTTGCCTCTAACAGTTGGAAGCGTTGAAAGACCATGGTACCGAGTTGATGAACAGTCGACACTTTGAGGCTCCACGAGTCAAAACAACACTGGATGATGTCACTGCTAGGTAAAGTCATCCTGTTGAAATTTAATGTCGAATTACAATCTTTAAAAAAAAATTCTCCTGGGTCCAACTTCTTTGTAACTCGCTTAAATGAAATGACATGGTAAGATAGTCAGGCGTGAACCCTGGTTTAAGTCTCTCATGAATTCTTCCAAATTATTGTCAAAATATGAAGTATTATAGATTTATCACCAGATTAAGAATTTGAGCTTGAGCAGAAAATCTGAGTTGGAGCATGAGAACGAATTCATAAATACGTGGCCTGATTATTTGAGATTAAAATTTTTGACTTTGCATGAAGAAAATGATGTTTGTACAGATGTGTTTTGATTTCTATAGGCGTGCTGGAATCAAAGACCAGAGTGCTGTGCGGACTCAGAAACTGGACGATTCCCACCTTTACGCCCAATTCAACAGAGATGTACATGAGGTAAGGTTAAGTGCTGATACAGGGGCTAAGCTTACTATTCCTTTGTCTCTAAGCAATACACCTGCTTCACTTGTGTAGAGATTTGTTCATATACAGTGATTGGTATTAGGGATTACCGACCTTGACTTTTAATTTGATACTGAGAAATTGGTTGTATTCCACCCCTGGCTTCATTAGTCTTCACTGGTTCTTACTTGGAAGTGAGGCACTTGGGTATTTCTATACTTTATAAATGGCACAATGTTCGTCATAATTAAGACAGATTTGTTGAAATGTCAACAAAAGGAAGGCAGTTTGGCATGGCTTACTTTCGGGAATTTCATTGCTTTGCTATCTGAAATGTGTCTTATACATTGTTGACATAATGACATCATTCAATTATACAAAACCCCTGCCTTTCATTAAGGATGCCCTCTATCTAAATTCCTAGTTAAGGGAGAAAACAGGTTCCTTGTATTTGTTTAGAACACTTAAGTAAGTAGTTGTGAAATATTTGTTCCTGTTTATGAATAGTTGTCTTTCTGTTTTGTTTTTGTGATACGACTTGTATTAAATGCAGTGTCTATTGACATAATCCCAAATCAATGTGTTACAGTTTGAAGGCTGGGTAGATGACAAACTCAAGGTGGCTTATGAAGACAACTTCCAGGATGTGACCGATTTAAATGAAAAGATGAAGAAGTTACAGAAACATCAGGCATTCGAGGCGGAGATAAAAGCTAACATAGAGGGCATTGAGAAGATCAATGAGGTAAGTTTTGTAGGTACAATGGTGTACATATTTCTTAACAATAAAATGGCTTTTACTATGTAACATGAAATGTTCACCATGTAAAACTGTTTGTGATTTTAAAATAAATACAACAAATTTAATTGATACTTGACTACTGTTTGTATGAGGTATCCTTGAAAATTTACCATGAAACAATCTAAATGGCTTCAAATAGCAAAAACCACCCATAGACATTTCATGTTACACAGTACCATGTACACTGGGGTCACTGCTCACCATACAATTGAGAAAAGACAAAGAAGAATATTCATCACCAATGTATGCTGCTTGTTAGTCTTTCATTGCCTCCGGGAATAAAACATTTTAATACTGATGGAATCTTTCGCAAAGAATCCAGTTATTCAATTGTTTATTAAAAATAAATTGCATCATATTTCTAGATGAAATATTTCTTGGATTTCTGAAAGACACTTTCACGTACCTGGTACGGTCTTGACCTAGCTTTGGGTGTTACATTGCTGATAATCCCAAATTCATTCATTTCAGAAAGGGAATGAGTTGGTACGCAGAAAGCACCCCGAGTCTGACAGAATTCGCCAGCGTATGCAGCGGTTCTCCTCCAAGTGGAATGAGCTGTTGCAGGGATCTAGTAACCGTGGCAAAGGTCTGGAGGAGGCCAAGGACATCCTCAAGTTCAACGAGCAGGTCAACAAAGTGGAGACCTGGATCAGGGACAAGGTCAATATTTGGGTCATATTATGTATCACACAAGTGCTCATAATGATTACGAAATTTATTTGCAATGATTCATGTGTGGCAGCTTTCAATTTAAAGTTGAAGACAAAAGAATGCTGAACATAAAGATCAGATTGACATTTAGGTCATTGTCAGTTTCAATGAATCATTGATTAAAATTACAAAAAGACCATGTATTATTAATCTATTGAAATATAAAATTAAAAAAGAATGGATGTTCATGTGTAGTAGGTAAGTATAGAAAAATGAAATATAATAACCAACTTAAAACTAGCATTTTCACCCTTCGCATGGCTCTTCAGGTTTATTATGATCTAAAATATACCTGACGAGTACCTGTGAAGGGTCCAAGATGTTGGTTTTAAGTTGGTTGTTATTCCTTTGTTTTCTATTATTATGTATAGCTTATTTTTTTTTGAGCTTTGTATGTGAAAAAAATCTGACTTGTTCCATGTTTTGGTACAGGAGGCACTGGTAAATGCTGGAGACCTTGGTCGTGACTACGAACACTGCTGCGAGCTTCAGAAGAAAGCCGACGACTTGGAATCAGCTGTAAGTCTCAAGTTCTGGTCACATTCTTTGTAGAAAATAAAATCAATACCAGTTACATTTTACAATTTGATATAACAACTTGGTATGCATGTAGGTGTCTATACTATATCTGATCTGTGTTGTTCCCCTAATATCTATGGTGGTTTGTAATCTGTGTTAGATTAATAGAGCACTTTCTGGAATTTTAAATTGCATATTATTTTAAAATTTTGTTGATGCATGTTTTTTTTGTATTTTTTTGTATTCCTAACACGACTAGAAAAGCAAATTTAATCTTACAGGCAATTCCTGCCCCGATCAACTTTTGATTTAAAGTGATCCCTGGTAGGTCTAGTGTTAAAAGTAAAATATTTCTGTGTAATCTTATATTACAGGTTATATATTCCTATATGACCTAAATTACAGGTATCATATTCCTGTATGATCTAAATTGCAGATAATATATTCCTGTACGACCTAAATTACAGGTGAAATATTCCTGTATGATCTAAATTACAGGTGATATATTTTCCTATATGATCTAAATTACAGGTATTATATTCCTGTATGATCTAAATTACAGGTGAAATATTCCTGTAGTATGATCTAAATTACAGGTATTATATTCCTGTATGATCTAAATTACAGGTAATATATTCCTGTATGATCTAAATTACAGGTGAAATATTCCTATATGATTTTAATTACAGGTATTATATTCCTGTATGATCTAAATTACAGGTGATATATTCCTGTATGATCTAAATTACCGGTGGTATATTCCTGTATGATCTAAATTACAGGTTATATATTCCTATATGATCTATATTACTGGTGATATATTCCTGTATGATCTAAATTACAGGTGAAATATTCATATATGATCTTAATTAAAGGTGAAATATTCCTTTATGATCTGAATTACAGGTATTATATTCCTGTATGATCTAAATTACAGGTGATATATTCCTGTATGATCTAAATTACCGGTGGTATATTCCTGTATGATATAAATTACCGGTGGTATATTCCTGTATGATATTAATTACTGGTGATATATTCCTGTATGATCTAAATTACAGGTGATACATTCCTGTATGATATAAATTGCCAGTGATATATTCCTGTATGATATAAATTACTGGTGGTATATTCCTGTATGATCTAAATTACCGGTGGCACATTCCTGTATGATCTAAATTACAGGTGAAATATTCCTTTATGATCTAAATTACAGGTGATATTTTCCTGTATGATCTAAATTACAGGTGATATATTCCTGTATGATATACATTACCGGTGGTAATTATTCCTGTATGATATAAATTACCGGTGATATATTCCTGTATGATATAAATTACCGGTGGTATATTCCTGTATGATATACATTACCGGTGGTATATTCCTGTATGATATACATTACCGGTGGTATATTCCTGTATGATATACATTACCGGTGGTAATTATTCCTGTATGATATACATTACCGGTGGTAATTATTCCTGTATGATATAAATTACAGGTGATATATTCCTGTATGATATAAATTACCGGTGGTATATTCCTGTATGATATACATTACCGGTGGTATATTCCTGTATGATATACATTACATTACCGGTGGTATATTGCTGTATGATCTATAATTCAGCCACATGCTTGTGTTAACTGTTGTACTAATTTTGGACATTACCTACCATTGTTTGCCCTCTATATAGAGTATATATGGGTTTATTAGGTTGCCACACGTCTGTTATTGTGTGCATCAATTGTTGTCCATAAACAATTAGAATCTAAACTCAAATATTACTGAACAGACTTTATTAAGAATTTATAAGCTTACTCAATTTGAAAGTCATGATGGCTGCCCGAGTGATCATTTCTGAAATCTCATGGTATATTTAAATCAAACTGAAGTTCTCGGCCAATGTCATTGAAACTTTGCAAAATGGTCCTATTTTGGATCCATCTGAGTTAGATATGGCTGTCATGGTGGCCATTGTTAAATACAGTGTAGTAGAACCTTACAAATGTATGTAATGGATCTTCGTAGAGAACCTTTTGGCCTGGTCTTAATCAGGTGTTAACTATGTTTTACATTGATTTGCAGTTTTGTTTTGTTTTCATCTACAAGTACTATACTGCTATATCTAGTAGTACTACTATATATAAACTGTGAAAGTGGAAATGTTCACGGTGTGGGAATGGTCATAACTTTCACATTGAGTAAATTAGCATGAAAATATCAAAACATGAAAATTTATAGATTATAGATAAATATAATATGTAGACTTGACAACTGTTGCCAACGAGAAAATATTCACACTGTGATTAGTTTAAAGGGTCACAACGAACATTTCTTCACACGAATATTTCCACTTTTACGATAGTTTTATCGTCTGTATACAGTGTTGTATTAACCAGGCTAACTACCCTTGTGTTACAGGATGTCCTCTTGTCTGTATTGTTGTGTTTATGGTTTTTATTATTATCCGTGTTTTATTAACACTAACTACCCTTGTATTACAGGATGCCAATGGTGTAAGCACTTTCTTCGTTTTAACACCCTCTATCTCTCACCTTACACCTCCTCACCATCCTTCAGCCACAGCTGTCCGCCACCCATTGTAGTCACTGGACAAGGAAATAGTGTTAGACATCAAGCTAATGAGATTGAAAGCTTGACAAAGAATGAACGATTAGATACTGTTGATTTATCTATTAATGTCACACAAGTTATCTACCCTGTGATGTAGATGGCAAATTATTCTGATGGCTTACATTATTTGCATGAATACATTTCTGAAAATACTTGATGATATTCTTAGTTCTTACCAGTTGTTTCATGTAAAGTTATGTGTAGATCATATATTTAGTTTGTCTTACTGATCATTCTGTAAGTGATTCCATCCTATTTGACGTGGTGTCGGAGTGATAACGTCACAAGCAATGTAGGTTCATGTCATTGACTGTGAATTCTCCTTACTTAGGTAGTGTAATATGGAATAATTGCTGTTGGAAAGTATCAGTGAAGTTTTAAAAAGATAAGGAGCTATTTAATATTTCAGGAACTATTAAGACCAAAACAAATTCTGGATGGCTCCAATCTATCTATCACAGTGCATGGCGTGTAATTGACCCACGTATGAACTCTTTTCTCCTGTTGTTTACGTTGCTTTACCTGTTTCCTTGGTTACAATCCCTTGTTTCTATATATAGTTTGTGTACCTTTTCTTCAATGTTAAATGTGTATTTGATATATATCCCATACATTCATATCACAATGATCCAGGGTCTGCTGTGTTAGCAACAATACTCCTTAACAGATTTTGTTTGTTGGTATGACCAGCAAATACTTGTGGTTAGTTAGTGTATATATTTATGTTACTACAGGAGTGTATATATTTATGTTTCTACAGGAGTATAGATTTATGATACAACAGGAGAGTATAGATTTATGTTACTACAGGAGTGTATAGATTTATGATACAGCAGGAGTGTATAGATTTATGTTACTACTTGAGTATAGATTTATGATACAACAGGAGAGTATAGATTTATGTTACTACAGGAGAGTATAGATTTATGTTACTACAGGAGTGTATAGATTTATGTTATGACAGGAGTGTATAGATTTATGTTACTACTTGAGTATAGATTTATGATACAACAGGAGAGTATAGATTTATGATACAACAGGAGTGTATAGATTTATGTTACTACAGGAGTGTATAGATTTATGTTATGACAGGAGTGTATAGAATTATATTACTACAAGAGTGTATAGATTTATGTTTTTACAGGAGTGTATAGATTTATGTAACTACAGGAGTGTATAGATTTATGTTACTACAAGAGTGTATAGATTTATGTAACTACAGGAGTGTTGCCTGCATTCTTTGTTGTTATTTTTGTGCTTGAATATTTAGTTTGTAGTTGTGTGAGAATTTATTTGCATCTGAAAAAATGAAGTCACATTATTATATAAATCACAACTTGTTAGAGCCGAGTTAACTATCATGGTTGTGTTCATTATGCACTATTTCTGTCAATTTACCTGCAGTTAATATTTTTATTGGGTTTGGGAAATGTTCTGCTACCATGCATAAATCTATTCTTTTAAGTTGGGAAGGGTAAAATTTACCTGTGTATTTGTTGTTTAAAAAGGGGTAAGCATCGCTATTGTTACCTGTCTGGGTACGGAAGTGTTGTCATTTTTTGTCACCTTTGATCATTGCTTGAACAAGTTTGAGGCTGTTTTTAGAAGACCAATATGTTTTGTAATATAATAAGCCCATGGTTTCTTGCAGACACAAGCATTAGCACATTTATCACTTATTTTTCCTACATTAGAATGAATGTTTCCTTGTACGTCATTGGCAGGTAACAATCAAAACGACTATATTTGACATAGTAAGGGCGTCCCTAGGGATTGAAAAATTATAATTCTGAAATTTTCCATTCTGGATTTTATGATTTTTGGAATTCCAGTTTGGTTGTTAATTATATTTATACTTCTGCATGAAGTGAACTGCTGCAGTGCAAAAATTAAACACACGCCTAACTCATCATTTACTTCTGTCTGGCACTCTCATTTAAAGCCATATTGGTAAATCTGGAGATTCACAAGGTTATCATTGTAGTCCAGTCGCCTTTCCTTATGTGTAGCAGAAACAGTGACAGATGATGTATTGGTTACAAGTTACAATTCCTGATGGCACAGTAACACATTTCACATGAAGTTATATATATGAGGTTCGAGAGTAAACAGGATATTTTATTTAGTCAAGTACAGAATGATATAATAGATCAGATAATACACAGTTGTGTTCCCTTGTCTAATTTGTCGCCTACTGTTCCTGACAGGGTATTACAGTGGATGACAGTCGTATCAAGGCCATCAACGATCTGGCCGCCAAGCTAATCTCACAGGGACGAACAGACACAGTGGCCGTGAAACAGAGGCGTGACGAGATGAACCAGAAGTAAGTAAAGTTACATACAGCACAACCTAATGGCTGGTTTGTATGCCCCCAACCATTTTATAGGGGCCACATCAATTCTGACCTATGTCCGGACATTCAGTCCTTTTGCAGTTCATTGTCATGACTCTCCCTTCTTCATTTCTAAATAAATCTTAATTAAAAGCTTTTACAAAGGTCACGTATGAGAATACCTTAGATGAGTTTGTATTTCAGCATCTCAAGGTCAAGTCTGAGGTCAGTGCTATATTTAGATCAACCACTGAGCTGAGGGAGCATTCATGTCCTACCTCACATGTCATTGGTTTAATTGTAACACCATGGTTACATATGATATCAGTGGTTGGATGTACCACAATGTATTTTTAGGAAGAAGAGCTATAAATTATTGGAATCGGCTTTATATTTGTTTGAAAGTATGGAAATCACACCGTGTATTTGGCCGAGATTTGACATCATCCAATAATGTATGTTGCTAGATGGAAAGGTATCCAAGGAGACCTTAACAACTACAAACAGAAAATGGCGGCTGCATTAGAGATCCACGCCTTTAACCGTGACGTAGACGACATCAACGATCGTATCAACGAGAAGGCTGTGCTGCTGTCCAGTGAAGACATGGGCAAGGACTTGAACGCTGTGGAGGCCCTACAGAGGAAACAGGAGGCGATGGAACGTGACATGACCGCACTACAGACCCAGCTTGAGGTTCATATACAAATACCATATATATTGGTGATAATAAACATGGGTGTTAACTCTAAACAATAAAAAAATAAATAAAGGTTGGGCATCTTAACTTGGGAATGTTGAAGAGAGTGCTTTTGTAATCTTGAGGTGGTTACATTGGATGATAAATCAAGTGGTGTTCAAAGAAAATCATTTTTGAATTTAAATGTTGCCAATCATTAGATGTTCAACAGTTCTTTTGAAATGATGAGACTTAATTTGCTATGTTTGATTTCGTAAACAGAGAATTGAGCTGCAGTGTCGTCAGCTGTGTACAAAGTATCCCGACATGGCAGATTCAATACTGCTGAAACAAAAGGAGGCTCAGGACAACTGGGAGAAACTTGAGGACCTCTCTGACCTCAGGTACGCACCATTGACTGGTGGCAGGGTCACTGATAACTATAGACATGGAATAATCCCAGGCTCATAGCAGTCTGTGTTTGTGGAGCTATATTGAAAATCAATTGTCTAGGTCACCGTTAAATTAAATTATGGCATATATGAATTTGAATATTATCAAGGAAGAACATTTTGCTGATTATACTTTAACGAATCACCTGTTCACATTTTGTTAATTTTACAAAATTTTGTTTTAAACTGTTCCTTGATTTGCTTTCAGGAAATCGAGGCTGGTAGAGTCCTACAAACTTCAGAAGTTCCTTGCTGATGCAAGGGAACTGGTAAGTTGACTTTGTTATTTAACACTCATAGTGGTTTGTCATACATATATGTCTCTCAGTATACAGAATGAATTTCTGTCTTTTCTTTTTGATTTTATAATATTCTTTTGAAGTAAATCTTGTTTTCTGTTTATTCATGTACATGTGATAACCTTAAGAACAGCACAGTCTAGCATGACTTTCAAATTCTGACCAGTCTATTACCGCCCCGGTAAAGACAATGTTAAAGTTAATATGTACTTATTTTTGTCAAAAATTAATAAATAACAATTATTTTTTAATATTTCTGGTATAAAAAATATGGGCGTATACAATGTATTTGACCTTGTCACCATGACCTTTACAGATTACCTGGTCAGGTGACATGACAACTAGGATGAATGCTGCTGATCTGGCTAAGGACGTTCCCGAGGCAGAAAGCCTGCTACAAATGCATCATGAACGCAAGGTAGGCAATGTACATGATTTCAATGAAAACATTTTCTAAGGAATGTTATGCTAATTTTATGAAAAAAACTTGTACTTGCTTTATTTATTGACACATGAAAAAACAGAATGTTAATGTGTATATAAATTAGTTTATTTATAGAGAAGCACTCCTAATATAAAAATAAATCTAATATTTGTGTCCTACTAAAATGTTTGTATATTGTTGCCCAGGCGGAGATTGATGGTCGTAAGCCCCACTTTGCAGCTGTGAGAGAGTATGGTATCAAGCTAATTGATAACAAGCATTCTGCTGCAGAGGAAATACAGAAGACCATCGGTCAACTTGACCATACCAAGCTGTCACTGAATGGAGCCTGGGACAAGCGTAATGTGGTCCTTACTCAGTGTCACGATCTCCAGGTAAGGTCAAAGGTCATACAGACTGCTAAGTCCTACACACGAGAAGCTAAATAGAAGTTGGGCATACCAGTGATCTGGTCCCCAAATATCAATTAATGTAGCAATAAGAATTGTATAACATGTCTTGTTGTTTAGGACTAGATAGGGGACTTTCAGAGGTTGACGGGAATGGTTTGATAAAAGAATAATTCCATTATCAGTTAAAACATGTTGTCATGCCATGTTTTGTGGATATGGATTATGTGAGATGCATGGCTTTGTAATTACATCAAACCGTAATGGACTACTTACATGGGAAATGATCGGATTATGACCGAGACACCGTTCATTTGAGGGGGAAATCCTGTTCTAACTTATAAATAAAACATTCACCTATTAAGACCAGAAAAAGTATTTTGTTTCCAATTCAGGTAGATAGGCAGGACAACTATTTGCAAAATAATTGTACAAAAGTTGAGGTATAAAGATGTAGCACGACTGATTTTAACTGTGCATGTTTAAAAAAAGGTTTGATTGATGAGGTTCTAAAAACTAGCGTAGGTAGGGAAAATTGGATAGGAAATGTTGAGGACTGAATGTTGATGTTATATAACCACTGCCTCAAACTAACCGTGCAATTTGCTGGTTTTACAGGTTTTCAACGATACAGCGGAACAAACAGAATCCTGGATAAATACCAAGGAGGCGTTCCTGTCCAATGATGATCTAGGGGTAAGATTAAGTGGGACATTGGGTGTATCTACAGATAGGTGTAGTCTGATTCTATGTATCAATATAGGTGAAAAATAGCTTAATACATGTGATGAAATCGTGTTCTGTAGAGCAGTGCTGTATTAACAAGAGACAAATATACCTCGGGTCACTGTGTTTTGTGCTACGTTCCTGTTAAATCCTTAAATTGTTCTTTTAGGTTGTTACATTCAAAAATCAGTTGGGTGTTCGTCGCATATATTGAAAGTCCAGCCAACACCCAATAAAAGGATCCTACCTAATATTGGAACGGCGTTGGCTCGACTTCTCCCCCTTTCTGTTTTGAAAGTAACATCATATAAAAATGTGTAAGGGTTTCGCTGGACTGATTTATCTTTGTATATATTAATATTAAGAATGACCTATTTGTGGTTACAGAATACACTGTACAGCGTTGAGGCGTTGATTAAGAAACATGATGGGTTTGAGAAGGCGACACAAGCCCAACAGGACAGACTGGAGGACCTGAAACAGTTCGCACAGAACCTGAATGAGCAGAACCACTACGCCACTCATGAGATTGTTGACCGCTGTCAAGCTGCTGTGGAGCGCACCAGACGATTTATGGAACACTCGACTGCCAGGAGGCAGAAACTGGAGGATTCCAAGAACTACCAGCTCTTCCTCAGGAACCTGTATGAAGTAAGCTATCTATGCCTGATCTAATAGTACAGCTATGGGAATGGCTGTGATATAACACGAAACACACTACAAATTAGATTGACACACCCTTATGATACAATTTTTATTAACCCTTTCAACACTGTAGACCATAATGGACTCATCCATATCAATGCGTGGTAGAGTCTACTGAAGTTACATAGGGGTAAAGGGTTAATGACAAAATATTGTCACACCACCACCATTTGTTGGGTAAAATGGTGGTGTTTATAATATCAGGATTTTGGCACTTTATCTAGGGCGACATTTAAGGAAATTGCTCAGAATTTGGCAGTAAGCAAGAAAAACAAATGAAGAATAGGGATTTGATATTGAGGTTTTACTGTATAAATGAGGGCCAAGTAGTAAGTGGAAGACTTGATTAAAATATAATTAATACCAACAGTTGCTAAAACCTCAAACAGTGTTTGTGATTTCTGTACATCTATCCATCCCAAAATAAACAAGATGTGACAACTTGTTTAAAAGGCTGCATTGCGTTTGTACTTTAGGTGTCTAACTGGATTAATGAGAAGCTTCAGGTGGCCCTGGATGAGTCCTACAGAGACCCTACTAACCTACAAGCCAAGCTCCAAAAGCACCAGGCATTTGAGGCGGAGGTGACGGCCAACAGGAACAGAGTGGACGCTGTGGTGGAGGTATGAGATACACATGACATATCACTAGTAATTTGGGGTTTGAGTTTGAAGCAATAGTGAAAACCATTTACCTGATTGCATTGTTATAATCATGTTTGTTCAGAAGGCAATGCTGTTATTTGAATAACAATAGCTGACATTGACCCTCTATTAGTGTACCTGTGGTGTGATATGACAATAATCGTGATTTGTTTCTGGTTTCCATTAATGAACAGGGCAGTTATCGCTGTGATCTTTTCATGACAAGGGTTTTGCACCAATTAAAAAATCCCAAGAGTGAAATTTCCCTATCCTACACCCCTTGGTGTGAAGGAATAATTTTCTCTAGCTCTGATTAGCAGAACTAGTGAAGAAACCACAAAAATATGTCGCATTTTCTACACTGCATCATCAGAACATTTCCGATTTCCTAATGTCAAGTCTTTGTTGTTCCACTATGACATCACGCGCACATGAAATGGGATGGAAGATGTTTTACACCCCTTTCTTACCCTGGACAGTTCTGTCGTATTCACACAGGAATGAGATAAAATGATTTCTAATAGCACCCACTGTAATGGATAGATCTCTAATGTCATTGGTAAAATGTAATCAAACATTGTCAACAGGAGGGCAATGGGCTGGCGAAACAGGACCATTACGCCAAGACAGACATAGAAAAGAGACTGAATGAACTGGAGTTGAGTTGGGAAGCTCTCATGGCTGCTAGTGCTGAAAAGAAAGACAGACTCCAGGATGCTTACCAGGTATATCAACTGAGCAAGATTGTTACAATAGATAGTATACACTTTCTTTATTTTACAACTTTGAAACAACTTATATTAATTACTCTTGTTGGCCTATGTGTTTCTCTACACAAGTACAAGTAACAAGACCGAAGATAATGCAATCTAACATTAACAAACACTTCTTTTGAAATTGGTTGATCAATTTACTGTGAAAAATGCTGTTTAAGTACTCCTATCAGCATATTCCTATTTTGTTAAGTATTTTAGGGCACATTCACTATTTTAGCAGTCACATGGCAGGGTGGGTTCGGTTATTGCAGACAAACATCACCACAAACATAACGTTCCATTTTATTTTGGAATTGATTTTAAAAAAAACATTTTTTTCATTATGATGTTGTAGGCATTGATGTTTAATCGTGTTGTGGACGACCTAATGGCCTGGATGGAGGATGTGGAATCGCAGCTCATGTCGGAGGACCACGGCAAGGACCTCACTTCTGTCCACAACCTCCTCAAGAAACACCAGGTCAGTCAGTGATGGCCTTTTGTCACGTGTCATTACTTATAAGAGGGATTATCTCATTGGTCCATAACTATGTTATCTTGTTAAAACTGTTTTGAATTGAAGTTTCATTAATGTTATTGATTTGTGTATAAAAAAAATCAGCTTTTACTTTACACTTGTACAGCTTGACACTAGAGTAAAACCTTGTTATATTACCCACATTTGTCCAGAGAAATTTTGACATTATATAAGAGTTTGGAAGTAAACTGATGGAAAATTAGAAAGGAATTCTTAAGAAAAAAGATACCTTGAAATATGTTGGCAGTAAGCAAAATGACAAAGAAGCATTATATCAAGGGTTTAATGTATTTTGCTGGACCTCAGATCTGATGTCAACTTTACCGGTTCTCATGTTATGTGATAACTTCCTGGTGTCAGTATAAAACTCCTGGTATAACAGGCCCAACATTGGACCTTTGATATGCTTTGGTTTAGTACACACCTATAAGTTGTGTGATCAGATCTGTTCCTACTTCCTAGATAACAGTAGTATATCAGGCTATGATTGATTGTTGTTACAGATGCTAGAACAGGACATCCAGATTCACAAAGAGAAAGTGACCGACATCCAAGACGCTGCTCAGGTGTTCAAGGAAGCTAAACACTTCATGAACAAGGACCTGCAGGCCAGGGCCAAAGAAACTACTGACAGGTATGTGTGTCACTGTCTGGCCGTGTTGTAGGCATAGGAAAGATCTACCCATTAATGGAGGAAGTGATGTCATTCTTTCATTTCACACCTGGTAGCTTTTGTTTGATTGTCATTATATGCTTATCATATCCCCTGAGCTTCGTTATAAACATGATTTGCCAAACATTTATTTCTAAAGGCAGAACTATTCATAATCCATACTTACCAACCTAAAGAAAAGGTTTGTTTAATATGAACAATGTTACACTCTGTACTATACTGTAATTGTGAGTTTATGTTACAATGATTTTTGACAGGTATAAGTCCCTAACGGAGCCGTGCACCATCAGGCGTGACAACCTGGAGGAGGCACTATTGATGTACCAGTTCTACCGCGACGTTGAGGACGAGATGTCATGGATACAGGACAAGAAACCAGTCGCCTCGTCCACTGACCTTGGGGCCTCGTACCCAGCTGTCCAAAACCTTATGAAGAAACACCAGGTGAGTATCAGTCTAAAATAAGGGATCGCTTTCTGTAAAGTCAAACATGGATATGAACAATTAACATTTTAATTGATTGCACAGGAATTATAAAATATAAAAGATTACATAGGAATCACAGTTTGGATACAGACCAAATTCATTATTTCAGGCGTTAGAGGCAGAGATTATTGCGCACGAGCCACTGATTGATGATGTGGCTAGTAATGCCCAGCGGATGATTCAGTCCAAACATTTCGCCAGTCAGGACATTGAGATTCGACTGGACGAACTTCATCGTGACCTTCAACAGCTTAAGGAACAGACATCTGTGCGCAAGGTCGCCCTACAAGACTCCCTTGAATCTCAAAAGGTAGGGTTTTAGTCAGTTAATTTATTGATTCAGATTGTGCTCATTCCAATATCTTAAAAGAAGGCAGAAAAAATCCAAACCCAAATGTGGTTCTTGTGAATGTTATGATGAATTTTTGTGTTTTATTATTAAGATTTTTTTATACTCTGCCTTTATTGGTGATGATTTGTTCATACTTGAAGTACAAACAATATGGAAGAAAATGTCCCTATTCTTGATGAGTTTTTGATAATGTTTGTGTGACAGTTCTATGCCGAGATAGCCGAGGCTAACAGCTGGATGGACGAGAAGATCCCTGTCCTCAGCAGTCCGGACTACGGCAAGGATGAGGATACTGTACTGGTAAGTAATTACCACAATCCAAAACTATGACAAACATTTAAATGGTCAAATGAGACTTGCCTGTCGAACCATTTCGTTCCAGCAGAACGACATATTGCAGCTGGTTCATAATGGCACTACTGTAATGTTCCGCTAAAATTGGAATGCTCGTTCACTATCAGTGACTGATAAACTGCTTTGTTTTAATATGAAACACGACAGTTTAATAAATTTCATACAACAAAGTAAAATATCTTTTCATCTACCGATACATGTACAGGTCGATAGCATATACAGATGATGAAACATAAGCGATGTCATAAACCAAAGAATGATGTATTATTAACTAGATGGCCACACTTTTGAGTAATGAATCAATGTTAATTGCACTTAATAAATCCTATCTCTACACTAGGCCTACACAAAGAAGTTAGATGCTTTGGAGAGAGACATTGATAACTTCAGCAACAACATCGGAGAACTGGCCGCTCTGAGTCGTACTTTGGTGGACAAGGGTCACTATGACAGTGAAAATGTGAAGAAACAACAGGTATGGATCACATGATTAGTTTGGCTATACAGGTAGGACCTTTACTTACAGTGAAAGTATGGACAGCTTCACAGTCTTACTTATACATTTCATAGAAACAAAAATGTTCTGAAAAGCAGATTGTTGTAAAAAGTATGTAAAACACTCTTCCAATAAGAAGTGGTAATGCATTCAAGAAAAGTGACTGTTAACAATAGGGTTGTTTTAGATGACCACTGGCCTCTAGCTAATTATAGGGTTGTTTTAGATGACCACTGGCCTCTAGCTTCTCGGCCCACAAAGACAGATTTTCACCTGCCCTTCGACATACCGGTCCAACTTAGGAACTACACTTAGCTGCCTCCAAAATATTGTCCATATCTGTGTAATATTTGTTTAGAACCTGGCCTCTTCCGTATCTTTTTACATATGATCTTCTCCCCTGATGTAATATTTGTTTAGAACCTGGCCTCTTCCGTATCTTTTTACACATGATTGTCTCCCCTGATGTAATATTTGTTTAGAACCTGGCCACTTCCATGTTAAGTAAAAGTTGACCTCCAAGTTTTTATAACACATGGACAGCTGAACAAGTCCATTTTGCAAGCAAAGAGAGTCATATACAGCTCATAGGCACACCTATATGTTTTTTCAAATGTAATGAACTATTTTGATTTGTGCATTGTCTGTTGTGTAAATGATAATTGCTTGTGTTCTGTAGGCATCTGTGGAGAGTAAGCATAGCCATCTTCAGGATCTGTCCAGCCAGCGCCGCATCAGACTGACCGATACCAGGAAACTGTATGAATTTTACCGTGAGGCAGAGGAGGTGTCCGTCTGGATCTCGGAACGTGTGGTAATAGCTGCCTCTGAGGACTACGGACAAGATCTGGAGCATGTGGAGGTTAGTATATCAATTTAGTAGAATTAACAGAGGTATTCATCTCTGAGATCTATGCTCGTTAGTCAGGTGTTGCTAGTTGTAAATTCTCCAGGTGTGGTTACATTTACAATACTCAAGGTCATTGTTCTTAAAACTAGGTCACTTGCTACCTTTAATGCCCTATCATGAAATGGTGCAGAGTATTTAGTGTTACCCTTGCCTGTACTGATACTTCCAGTCAGTTAAAAGTTTTTTAAAGATAAAGTTACCTATGGACTAAGTATGAACTGCAGCAAGGTTCACACAAATTCTCATCCATATATATATATAAAGGTGCTTTGATGATTAGAACATCTTGCATGATTTTATGAAACCTTGACCTTTGTCCCAGGTCTCTGTGACCTTTCTTTAGTTTCTAATTATATAAGTGTGGGAGCAAGGAATCTGTGCCCTACAGACACATTTCTAGTCTCTATTTGTTTGGAAGAAATAAGTCCATTAGAAACCTGAGAGAGAGAGAAGTTCTATGATTATGATATCTTTGAATCATGTTGAACATTTCAAGTGCAATTTTAGACTTGACTTGAATATCTCTCATCCTACAGATGCTGCAGCAGAAGTTTGAGGACTTTATCCATGACCTCAACTCGAGTGAAGATCGGATCACTAAGGTTGAAACTATGGGAACCACCATGGTTGAAGCTCAACATTTTGAGTCGGAGAAGATCAAGATGAGATTAGAAGAGATTAATCAGATGTGGCTAGAATTGAAAGATGTTACCAAAGCTCGACAGGATGTAAGTATCTAATCTGATCCCCGAGATACAAAACCTACCCTATACTGTAGTACTTCTGGCTATAACCTGACCCCCGACATACAAGATCTACCCTATACTATAGTACTTCTGGCTATAACCTGATCCCCGACATACAAAACCTACCCTATGCTGTAGTATGTCTGACTATAACCTGATCCCCGAGATCCAAAACCTACCCTATACTGTAGTACTTCTGGCGATAACCTTATCCCCGACATACAAAACCTACCCTATGCTGTAGTATGTCTGACTATAACCTGATCCGCGAGATACAAAACCTACCCTATACTGTAGAACTTCTGGCTATAACCTGATCCCCGCCATACAAAACCTCCCCTATACTTTAGTACTTCTGGCTATAACCTGATCCCCGACATACAAAACCTACCCTATACTGTAGTATGTCTGACTATAACCTGATCCCCGAGATACAAAACCTACCCTATACTGTAGTACTTCTCGCTATAACCTGATCCCTGACATACAAAACCTACCCTATACTGGAGTACTTCTGGCTATAACCTGATCCCCGAGATACAAAACCTACCCTATACTGTAGTACTTCTGGCTATAACCTGATCCCTGACATACAAAACCTACCCTATACTGGAGTACTTCTGGCTATAACCTGGTTCCCGAGATACAAAACCTACCCTATACTGTAGTACTTCTGGCTATAACCTGATCCCCGACATACAAAATCTACCCTTTACTGTAGTACGTCTGGCTATAACCTGATTCCCCGAGATACAAAACCTACCCTATACTGGAGTACTTCTGGCTATAACCTGATCCCCGAGATACAAAACCTACCCTATACTGTAGTACTTCTGGCTATAACCTGATCCCCGAGATACAAAACCTACCCTATACTGTAGTACTTCTGGCTATAACATTTCAAAGGTCATATAACTTTACCATACACACATACTGTGATAAATTAGGCCTGTTCCAGGAATCTTTAGAAGCTCACTGGATTTTCTGCCAGTAATAGTCCAGCTGGATTGATGATGAATGATGTTATTGTTACCTACATGTAGTTGAATATGAAGATATTAAAACAACCTTTATCTCACAGGCCCTAGCAGCAGCCAAACAGGTTCATATGTATGGCAGGGATGCAGACGACACGCTGGATTGGATCCAGGAGAAGGAGGGACTTGTTACCAAAGATGAGTTTGGCCATGACCTTGAAAGTGTGCGTGCACTACTAAGTAGACACGAAGGACTTGAGGTAAGGTTTTTAGTTATTTACAATATTATCTGTAGCAGTTAAATCAGTGTATTTTAACTAACAGTATTTTTTACGATGATTTATTTAGTTGAAATATTAAGCAGTATGAGTTGTTTTCTAAATTTTCACCAAGGTATGAAAATGAAAATGCATATTTTGAAATGATATGAGCAGTTTTCAATGCCGCAATGGAACTTTTGAAAATTGCTTTCAATTGTAAAATTGATCTTCATTAGTAAGTTTTCAAATAAACCATCAGTAGAAAAGTTGTACGATATGTGTCGTTTTCTTTTTCATGAAGGTATAAAAAAAATATGAAACAATGAGTTTCAGTACATATGATTGATTTGAAAACAAAGAAATATTATTTAATTATGAACTTTATACTTATTATAAATGACAGGATAAACAGAAAAAAGGTCTGATGACTTAATGAATTAATTGGTATGATACGTGCTTAATCTGCTGTATATTGTATAGATCTGACCTTGACCTCATTAATGTTTTTGTACAGCGTGACCTTGCAGCCATCAGTGAACAAGTGGAGTCCATCACGAAGGAAGCGGAGCGACTGATTGGTCAGTTCCCTGATGCCCAGGAACACATCGCAATGAAGCATGAGGAGATGGTTCAGTCATGGAACAACCTAGTCGAGAAGGCAACACTGCGGAAAGAGAAGCTACAACAGGCTGATCAGCTCCAGGTCTACTTCAACGACTACAGGGAACTCATGTTAGTTATCACAGAAGTTTACTGAAATTTTGTTAGTAACGTATGGGACTTCATCATATGTTTGTATCAAACTGTATTTATGTATGTATCAAATGAATGTTGTATTCGATTATTTACTTAAACAACATGTTGTTAATATGCCATTCCTGATACATGTCTGCTTTATTTCAGAACTTTATGGAATCAAGTTATATATAACTTATATATATTTGGAAACTCGCAAATAGAAATACAACTTAACATAATTATGAAATATTTTCTGTAAGATTCACTTACATTTTAAGATACAATACCAGCTGTTGCGAGGACAAAAAACCTGAACAAAGAGTACAATATGTACAGTGATATATTCTCCTTACAGAGCATGGATCAATGAAATGATCGCCATCATCACGTCCGAGGAACATCCGCGGGATCTTTCCCTGGCTGAAGCCAAGATGACACTATGTAAGGAACACAAGACAGAGATAGAGAGTCGAGAGGAGGTTGTCAACACGTTTAGGGAGACAGGACAGGTCATGATCCAAAATGGACACTTCCTGTCTGACGAGGTGTGTACCTATGGTTCCATTTCATTAGTTTATTGATTTCATTTTTAACACACACAAAAAGACAAAATACAAGAATTTGTATAACCAAATATGAAAATACTTCAATTAAAATAATGATGTTCATGTTGCTGATCTGTTCCAGATACAAGAGAAGGTGAAAGACCTAAACTCGGCGTGGGAAGCGTTATTAAGTACATTTGAGACCTACAAAAGAATCTGCGAGCAGAATCTGGAAGCCCAGGTTTGTATATCTGATGTTATTAGTATGATCCTAGTAGTTATGGTTAAGATATGTAGTTTCTAAAAAGGAAGTTCCAATCTTATATTATTTTAAAATCAGAAAACGGTCTTTGAGGTTTTCTTAAGAACTAGAAGTACTTTTACTCGTAGCAAAAGTTTTTTCTCTCAATTGGAGAGTGCAGATTTCAAATAAACTTTATGTGCTTTAAAGAAAGATGATTAGCTTACAATTTTATAATAACTTGATCCCCATGATTTTGTGTGACCTTGATATGACTTATGACCTTTACATTGTGCTTTTACCAGCAACTGAAACATGAGATGGAGCAGTTAGAGGCCTGGATGACGATCAGGGAGCCACTGATGAAGGAGAAAAATTACGGAAGTAACATTCAGGCCGTCGAAGAGTTGCTACGGCGACAAGATGACTTTGAGAAAACTGTTGATGCTCAGTCAGAAAAATTTAAAGGAATCTGTCGTAGAACACAGGTGAGGTGTTGATAGAGACAACATTAGTCCCTGGCATGTGGTTTGGCTGTGGCACTTTGAACTTTAAGGATGATGTCCATTTTAAAAATATTTTACAGATCAGAAGTTAAAAACTGAATGGAAATTATAATTCAAAACACTATTAAAACAATTATCTAGATTTCATAACTGCATCAGTTCTTCTCAATAAGTTATAATGCATTCTACCAAAAGATCAATATCTCAAAAGAGTTTTCAAAATTGGCACATCATCTGTCCATTGACAGTTAGAACAGGCTGTCCTAGACTAGAAACTTTATATTATTGTATGTATTGACACATCATCTGTCCATTGACAGTTAGAACAGGCTGTCCTAGACAAGAAACTTTATATAATTGTATGTATTGACACATCATCTGTCTATTGGCAGTTAGAACAGGCTGTCCTAGACAAGAAACTTTATATTATTGTACATTCTGTATGTATTGACACATCTTCTGTCCATTGACAGTTAGAACAAGCTGTCCTAGACAAGAAACTTTATATTATTGTACATTCTGTATGTATTGACACATCATCTGTCCATTGACAGTTAGAACAAGCTGTCCTAGACAAGAAGCATCAAGAGATTGAACTAGAGAATGCCAGAAGGGAGATGGAGAGACTGGAGGAGATACGAAAACGCGAGCAGGATAGGATTATGGAGGTACGTTAGTAAATCTTAGTCTATGTAGGTTTTATGTCTGCTCCTATTGTCTGTGTGGTTTTGTTACAATGTCAATATGAAAACTAGTTCTGCATACATATTGGAACACCCATCTGTACATCTGTAGCCCCTGGTTAATTGTCTGTGGTAACACCTGGTATTTTGTCTGTCTGCCTGTAAGCCCTAGTTAATTGTCTGTGGTAACACCTGGTATTTTGTCTGTCTGTAACCCCCGGTTAATTGTCTGTGGTAACACCTGGTATTTTGTCGGTCTGTCTGTCTGTATTCCCTGGCTAATTTTCTGTGGTAACACCTTGGATTTTGTCTGTCTGTCTGTAGCCCCTGGTTAATTGTCTGAGGTAACACCTCATATTTTGTCTGTCTGTCTGTAGCCCCTGGGTAATTGTCTGTGGTAACACCTGGTATTTTGTCGGTCTGTCTGTCTGTATTCCCTGGCTACTTTTCTGTGGTAACACCTTGTATTTTGTCTGTCTGTCTGTAGCCCCTGGATAATTGTCTGTGGTAACACCTGGTATTTTGTCTGTCTGTCTGTCTGTAGCCCCTGGTTAATTGTCTGTGCTAACACCTTGTTTGACCTCATATTTATTGTTTGAATACCAGTTAAAAGTCATTAATTTGCTTATAAAAAAGTTGATTCACTTTAATAGTGCTATATATACAATCAGTTACTAATTTTGGGTATTTTTTTGATGTTTTGTGAACAAATCCCTTTGAGCAGACAACCAATAGTGTAGATAATAGACTGCAATGAAATGTTTAAAAAAAGACAAAAAAACAGCATGTCTGACAAAAATAACGACTTTTCTGGTAGGACTACTGAAGTTTACAAGGTGTAATTTGGCCACACAGAGGCTGGTGACCTTACACAGCAAATCATAAAGTCACATTTTTGCCTTAGTAAACAAAGTTTCCTCGGTGAAAATATGCAATGTTGTCCTTCATGACTGGTATTTATTTTATCGTATGTATGATAGTTTTCTCGACCAATCAGATTACAAGTTTTTCAGGAAGGTATAATAATCATAAACATTAAATGAATTGTTAACATACTGACAATGTAATGATACCTGTCTTCCCTCTGTGCTATGGGTTTGTGTGGTGTTTGCTATATTGCGTGTGAAAAAGTAGATGTGCACTTTCTAACACGTGGTCAACAGTAATTGAAAGAATAAGACATATTTTGAAGAAATTTTCAATCTTGGATGTTCGTTATTTTTTGGAAGTAAAGAATAGGATATGATAGTCATTTTCTTTCTCAAAAGGAATGGAATAAAAAAGTTCATTACAGAACATGAAAAATTGGAGATTGCATAATGGATGCTAAACAGTTTATAGCGTTTTGTAACCTGACTATCACAGATTAATCGAAATGCTTGGTTATATTTGGTGACAACCTTTGACCTGTTTTATTTTTTGCAGACTGTGCAGAGTGTATGTTTGATTTCTTGCTTGATCTGTGTTTTTTGCAACATAATTTTTTTATGTACAATAATTTGTTTGTCCTGTTTTGTTGCTAAATCAGCTTTAAGCTTGAAGGATGTTGTAAAAGTTTTCATGTCAAATGACATGTAATTACTTTCTACCATATATTTTCATTCTGAGCTTCACTTTTTTTTCACGTTTTCTTTAACATTGATGTTCCTATATCAAGTGTGGCGAGTCTACTTACTAGTTAGTGTTTACTGTCCTTCAGAAAGTCTGTTTCTCATGATTTATGTATTAACTATTGTAGAGACATGAATAACATCTAACTTATTTGTAATATAATTAGAAGGCCACATCACAAAGACACTTCAGAGATAATTAAATGAATGTTTACAACTCACAGAATTCGAACATTAATCTAGTGCAGTTAAATAACAACTTACAATAAACATTACAAAGAGTTAAAACAATGTATTTTTTAAAGTTTATATAAGAAAAATGTTTAATTTGATGAAAAAATGGTATAGATTTGCCATGCACTAGCCTTCTGTTTTTGTAGCTGAATGAATTAGAAATTAACACAACTTTTTGTGCTTTAGTGCTACATGTTGTCAAGTTCAACTTGCATGAAGGCTATATATGTTGTCATAGTGATAAAGTCAGAGCTGAAATAGAGAATGCATGGATTTAAAAAATTTAAAAAGAAAGAAAAAAACAACATTTTGTTTTCACAATGTTACAATAACTTTGAATTATCACAGCAACTTTATCTTAAGGATCATTGTACCATTGCTAAAAATGTAACTAGGAATTGGAATATTTTGATTGATCATTTCTGAATAGAAACCAATACCTTGCGGAACTTTTATGAAAAAAATAATAAAGATGAAATGAACGAAAAATATAGTCAAATGTTTTAAGAGTCAAAATGGAACTAGGCCACACAGGGATCCTCAAACTGACTAGACGTCCAGCCACTGTGAATAAGGTCGCTCTAACCAACTGATCTACATGATCAGCGACCCAAACCCAGTCTCTCTATAGTTATATCCAAAGAGTCAAGCTTTAAGGGGAGGTTACTCTATGTATGAAAACACTACAGTGGAATTCTCTAGTGTTTTGTCTGCAATGGGACGTGCAGCTTCATTAAGTAATTCAGCATGAAAACATCCTATTTCATTACATGCATTTGAATTTCCTGAAGATAGATGAAATAATATAACAGGATATGCTTTGCAAGTTCTTTCTTTCTATCTATCTGTAAACTTTGCTCTTTTCCATCATCTGTCTGAATTACCCGGTAGCAGCTACATAGTTACGGCTGGAGATGTTTGCGCTGTTTAACAGAGCTGTTGACTTGTTGGTTGTTTCAGTAATTGATCATCAATATCACTTCCAGATGTTTGTAGAACAGTTTGAACATCCTCCTTTACACACAGGATGGGATGAAATGTGAATTAGAGTACTAAGTAAGTGTGTTTTTGTCACAGGAGAGGAAACGAGAGGAGGAACAGAGGAAGGCTCGGGATGTCCTCCTCAGACGACAGAAAAGTGGTGGTGATGACTCGTCAGATGAGGATGATAAGTAAGTTGTTAAAGCAGTAGTTAGTGCTTAACAATATTAACCAAAACATGAATGTTCATAGAAAATTTCCTGGGTTTTGAATGATAACTTATAAACAAAGAAGCATGAAAACTTAAATAAGATTCATCTGTATTGTACATTTTTAGGTCACCTGAGACAAAGTCTCAAGTGACCTATTGCGATCGCCTTTTGTCCATCGTGCGTCCGTAAACAATTTACATTTTCGACTTCTTCTCCAAAACCCCTGAAACAATTTCAATGAAATTTTGCAGGGACCTTCCATGGACAAAGGTCAACAAAAATAGTTGCCGGTTTAGTCCTAAGCCCCCAGGGGCCTGAGGGGCGGGGCCAAAAAGGGTTGAATTGACTAAATTTTCAAAAATCTTCTTCTCAAGACCCAGATATCCCTTTGCCACATGCAAGCGCCGCTGGACGCCTTTACCCCTTGCCACATGTAAGCGCTTTCCGACGCCTCTACATTATCTCAATGTAAGCGCTTCTCGATTCCGCTACGTTATCTCAATGTAAGCGCCTCTCGACGCCATGCTGTTTCGGTAAACTTAGACATGGAAAATTCCGTGATTGAGAGCGACACCTATCTGGAAATCACCTATACTATTTTTAGAAGATATCAAGGCATCAACCAATCAGATTTGTACACGTCATTCCTACAAATAGTTTTGAATAAATTAACCTAGAAACTGCGAGTCATGAGTGTAGAAAAGTGTCACAACAGCGAGCCGTGATGGCGACTGTCACAACTATGTTACGGGACATTTTTGAGGAGGAGGAGGATGATTAATAGTTTAATGGCTTCAGCCCTGATGACATTGAGTCAGACATCGATCTGAACGATGTTTTTGAATGAACTGTCATCAGAAATAAGTCCGAAAATGATTATGTAAAAGATGAACAGCGACTGGGTGTACCGCCGCCATTACGGCATTAGGTAACGACGACTCTGAACGGTCTCGAGATTTTTCACCGATCAATTTTAATGATTTTGTTAGGAAAACGGGGCTAATACTTCCAGAAAAATGTTGATGTTGATACTGCAGGTCCCGTTGATTATTTCTATCTTTTTTTTTCAATAAAAATCAGTTCACCACCATAGCCCTAAACACACACTCGCTGGCGTTTGAAAAACGAAAATAGATTTGACCCAAAACGGTCGGATACAAATTCCGCCGCAATAAAAGCTTTTATATAGGCCTAAATATACACTGTATTTAAAAACTTCTTGTGAGAATTTTGGAAATTTGGTTTGTTGTTTTATTTGGAAGTGATAATATCATTGTTTAGTCATTTCATTGAATCGTAATTAAAGCAAAATGAAACTTTTTAAAATGTGTCTATCCTGATATACATACAGCTGATTTCATGGTTATGTGTTCATGTTTTTATTAGGAAAATAGCACTGAATTAAAATGTAAGAAATTCTCAACATAATTTTAACTTACTGAAAATGCTGAAAACAACTATTTCAGCTTCAAAATTAAGGTTAGAAAAACAAATCAAAACAAAACTTAATTTCTCAAAATTAAAACTGCCATTGAGATGGCGTATACACATTTCAGTCAGTGCAGCATTTTTGCATTGCAACAATGTATCTTGGCACTATCAGTACAGAGTGTTCAAGTGTATTGGCTTGCATGTGGCAAAGGGATATGGTAGAATCAAATACTCTTCATAGATGGAAGGGTCTTAAGGTGCTTTACCGAAATTGTGAATTTCATGACCCTGGGGTCTCACGTTTCCCCCTGGGGAGGGGGTAAACTTTACTATAGTTTATATAGGGAAATCACATTTTGGACCAACATTTGTTTAATTTCCATTGGAAGTAATTCAATTTGGGTTAGCATTATCAGTATTAGGTAGCAGTTTGATAATAAGCACATATCAGCCCTGACTGACCCCCAGGGGCTGATGGGTGGGGCCAAAAAGGGTCGAATTTACTGAAATTTCAAAAATCTTCTTCTCAAGACCCAGATATGGTAGAATCAAATACTCTTCATAGATGGAAGGGTCTTAAGGTTTATGACCCTAGGGTCTCACGTTTACCCCCTGGGGAAGGGGGGGGGGGGGCAAAATTTATTATGGTTTATAATGGCAAATGATACTTTGAATATTACATGTTAATAACTTGATTGGAATTATAACCTTGAATTGACAGTTTGATACTTTGAAAATTTTGACTGATACTACCACCAAGGGCTGTAAGGGTGGCGCTCAAAGGAGTCAGTGTGCTAAAATTTCTTCATTTTCCTTGTTAAGAATCAGAGGTGCTAGTTTCAAATCCTTTTTAGTCTGAAATCTGTATGCTAGATATTGAATAAGGTGGTTTTATTGTTTTTTGTCACTTTGAATAATATTTCTGTTCATGTTAAAAACAAAATCAACTCTCTGTATAAATATATCAGGTGACCGTTAAGGCCCATGGGCCTCTTGTTGTTATGAATATTTCATTTTTCTTAGTGTTTTTTGCAGCATGAAAATATATGCCACATGTAAATTCCAGCTCCTCTTGATTCAGTAGTACCTCCAGCATGAAATTGAATCTTCAACTAAATGATTGTTTTGATGTTTTACAGTGACAAAGACAAGTTGGACCGTAACACTGTGAAGAATCTGATTGGTCGTTCCCATAGTATAAAGAAAAACAAGGGAGATAAGAAGGGTGACAAGGAGAGTGGTGGAAAGGAAGTACGGCGAGCGATTAGTTTCAAGTCTCGTACTGACGGGGCCAGCTCCCCTCCACCAGTGCTACAAAAGGCTTACGAATTTAGACAAGGGGAAGGAATAGTTCAAAATGACAATGATGAGCCCGATGCTCCAACACTGCCACATGCCCCTCCTCCAGAGATGTTGGGTGGGACTGACCAACAGGTGATGGCCGGGCGGTCACCTCAGCTTAGCCCTAAACAGAAACGTGTAGACACTCTGAAGGATGAAGGCAAAGATAAGAAAAAGAGGACTCCTAGTTTTAATCTTCGAAGACGTACACGTAGTTTTAAGGAGAAATATAAACTTCCAGATAATTTACCCCCTGCTGAAGTTGAAGGAATTTTAGAGCGAAAACAGGAATTACAAACTGGTGGTAAAAAAGCCACAATACGGTCATGGAAATCTATGTATACTGTATTATATGGACAAATTATGGCATTTTTCAGAGACAAAGAAGGTAAGATGTATTTCTGTTATGATGATTTTAATTGATTATTGGTAATATATCACAAATCAAACTTATGTTGTTTCTTTTCTGAAATTTGATTCATTTTATTTTTAGACATGCAGAGTATAGCTATGCTACAATATTGATTGAAAATGAGTGTTGTTAACTTTTTACTGTTTTGTGATCAAAATGTACGGAAAATACTTTTTGGAATTATGGTGATAATCTATTATTGTTTACGAAAGGGTAAGTAATGATACTTGGCCATTGTATGTTTGTGTGCAAGTGAGAGGAGAGGAAAGAAAACATTTCAACAAGTGCTATTTGTTTAAATTCAGTGTGTAACGTTTTTGACTTAAACTTGAGTATTGAGTGTCGAATGAATGTTGAAATATTAGGATGTTTATTAGTTTTTGAGTGATAGATGAACTCAGTGGTCCGGTGGTACTGAGGTGGTGTAAACATTGGTCCGGTGGTACGCGTTGTCACCTCTATGACAGTGTTGTAACATAACCTTGTGTGACCCTCTGAGACCACCTAATTAACACCATCTGTGTCAGACACCACTTTTAAAACTCCTCCTTGCAGTTATTCTCATGTTAGTAGATCGAACAAAATAAAAGCCCACTTTACTGTACTTCATGTGTGGTCTCTGAACACAGATTGGGCTACAGTAAGACTTTGTTTGACCTTGATGTTGTAAGACGACCTTGAGTAATTTAGACTGTTTGTTTGGTGTATGGCTATGTATAATAGCCTTTTGTTACATTGTTTATTTTTGATATTTTGTTTTGTTTTCTGTCTTATGCGACCTTGCCTGATCATGTTTCAGCCTCTCTGGAGAAAGCACCCTGTGCTCCGTCCCTATTTATACACAATGCCTATTGTGAGGCTGCTAGAGATTACCACAAAAAGAAAAATGTATTCCGACTACGACTCAAAGATGGTGCTGAATTCTTATTGGAGGCAGGGAATCAGGGTGAAATGAACGATTGGCTGTCTAAAGTCAGCCATTTTGCAGGTAACAAACATTCCAAAATATTGAATGGTTTGTGGATATATGTAGATAATCATGTCTTTTCCCGGTATTGTTATTACATCTGTGATTTTGTAGGTGATGTTCTGTTCATGCTATATAATTAATAACACTCTGACTGCCTGCTTATCTTATCAATATTTATATATGATACATGCTTACCTTATATACATCTCACTAATTTGTGTGCTTATTAAGCCATTGTTGGAGACATTTAACCTGTGTTACAACTTGAGTGATAGCATTTAGAAATGGATCAGTAATTGGAAATCAGATAACATTTAGTAATGGATTAGTAATTGGAAATCAGACAGTATTTAGAAACAATAAGAAGCATTTAGAGACCAAAACAGTATTTAGAAACATAAACAAATGAAATGTATATAGAAGTAGTCATCATCATGTAAAAACACCTTCAAACTTTTGCATTTGTTTTTATATGCTTCATAATTGTATAAGGGAGAGTTCATACATGTAAAGGGGAATGTTGGTACAAACTTAGGTGAGGGTCTTCATACAGGTAGGGAAGGGTCTTCATACAGGTAGGGAAGGGTTTCATACAGGTAGGGAAGGGTCTTCATACAGGCAGGGAAGGGTCTTCATACAGGTAGGGGGGAGGTCTTCATACAGATAGGGAAGGGTCTTCATACAGGTAGGGAAGGGTTTCATACAGGTAGGGAAGGATCTTCATACAAGTAGGGAAGGGTCTTCATACAGATAGGGAAGGGTCTTCATACAGGTAGGGAAGGGTCTTCATACAGGTAGAGAAGGGTCTTCATACAGGTAGGGAAGGGTCTTCATACAGGTAGGGAAGGGTCTTCATACAATTAGGGGAGGGACTTCATACAGGTAGGAAAGGGTCTCGTACAGGTAGAGAAGGGGGATTACGCATAGCATAGGGGGGTGATATAAGCATACATAAGGGGACTTTGTATATTTAGATAATATTGTCTTAGTCAAAACATTATACTGTCTGGAAAATGTGTAAAAGCTTTAACGTTTTTAACTTTGTGAAGCTTATTGAATAGTAATAAAAGTGTTGATGCTTTTAGTGTTTGATATACACACAAATATGTAACCCTATAAACATGTACATACCTCTGATTAGACCTGACCATATACATTCACAGCTGTAAAAGGCAATGTTACTGAACTCTGCAACTATTTAAAGATAAAATGTTAATTGAAAACAACTGAGAAATCTTTAAAAGGACTGTAATGTTCCAGTAAACATCCAGTATTTATAATCATGTATGTACATGTATAATATAACCGTCACCTTACATTTACATGTATACATTTAATCTTTATTCTTAATCATCCTGTATAAATCAATTAATCGCAAAGCCTATCTTAGTAATAAGTTAATGACTATTCATGATATTTTCCTTTTGTTTATGGCCATTGTAGCTCAGTTGCCCATGCACACAGAGTCGGAATTCATTCATAATTCTGATCAGGCGGATGACTGTTACGATGGGCATATTGGAGGTGACTTATATTCACTTGTATTCTCAGGAATGTTTTTGCATTTTCCCTGCTTTTTTCACTTTGCCATGTTTTTTAATCTTTGTGTAGCCAGGTTTTCTGTGTGGCACACAGTCAACAGCTCTGCATTCATCTCTAAAGTAGAGCAACAGTGATGTACACTTTATCCCTGAATGTCCGTCTCTTACTGTACCAGTTTATAGTCAATTTATTTTGTAATAATGTGAGCAAAAACTATATATACTGATACTTGGATAGTTGTTGGTCATATAGGAAAAGGGTTACCTCCCCTATCACATAACACTCCTCTATAATATACTCTTTAACATGAAATGTTCGCTGTGTAGAAACATTCATGGTTTTCGTGTTTTTTATGGATCATTGAAAATAAATACAGATTGTACAACAAATTTGATTGATATACTTGACTACTGTGTGTTTATAAGGTCCATCTACAGAAGTTTGTATCACAAATGGCTATAAACAACGAAAGAAAATAACGAACATTTTGTGTTATACCATTAGTACCCAAAATCGACACTGGAACAGTTTTACATAATATGTGAAAACTTTCCATTGGATTACAGAACTTTTATCCTGTATGACGAACATTTTATCCTCTCAATTTTGAATATCACAGTGACTATAATATTTCATGTTCAATTATGAAAATTCAGATTTTAAGTTTTGATACTTTGTTTATCACGATAGATGCACATTTGAGGGGATACGGGATTCAGCTGTTGCGCTAATCTTTGTGTTTGTCATTTTTACTTGTTTTGTCCTCTCGTCGTCACTAAGCAGTTTACCAGGATGTCTCCAGGGGATACCAGTCTTCTCCAATAGATATCTCTCTCTATATAACACCGGTCTTTTTGATACCATTGTGATGTCAAGGTCAAATGTTTGTGCTAACTTACAGAGTAATGAACATAAAATATATACTATAATAAGACTTCTTTGATGAATGTTCTTGATGTCATAATATTCAAAGTGAAATGGTGTCCAGATTTAATTCCAATATTACATATTGAAGCGGGTTACCAAGTTTGAGGTCATAGTTTAAAGGTCAAGGAGATGACCTCAAACTGAATCCACAGCTATCATTAATTGAATCAGGAATGTTAAACTTGTTAATGATAAATTGTTTAACATAGAACTGCCTCTGTGAGTGTTACTACTATTGTCAGGTGATGTGTTGTGATGTAAATTGTGTAGTGTTACGTATGCTGCCTCCCTAATGTATGTCTACAAACACTTGGCTTCCCGGAGTCCTGCACAGAATAACACAACAAATACCTATGATATATAATCTATGATTTTGAGTTGGTATGAAGTTCCATATATCTGGAGAATTTCTCAGCTAAAAGCTATCTTTTAAAAGAGAAAGATGGCATGACATTCCACAGTATCTTGGTGATTACTTCAGAAGTACTCTAGTTTGGTCAACACATACCCTTGCCCTTTCTCTACAGAGGTCATGCCCTTCACCACAAGTGCTGGGTGTGATATGTGGTGTACTAGTACCCCTGGAGCATGCCTTGATATAACTTTGTTACGTCATGTCATCTTTTATCTTGGTACAAGAGCAAGTCACCAGACACTGTCCTGTTATGTAAACTTTTTTTTTAATTTTATTTTCTAAATGTCATATATATTTGTCGGAGTGTTAAATTGAGCATTGCAATACTAGGAAGTAATATTATCCTAAGGCTTGTAAACAAGACTCGCAAAAATAAGTCAACATTTTCAGCACAACTAGACAAGAGTGCTGCTCTTGACCTTGCTGAAAAGCTTTATTGAAAAATGGGAAAAAATATTGTGGTAAATATGTTATTTCTAACAGTATAACCACCCTTGATAACTTGATAAAGAAAGGATTTCTAAAGCAATACTGTTTGAAACAGTTTTATCATTTGACAGAAAAGGTAGTTTTGCCAACATATCATTAGCCTAGCTAAATATAAAGTACTGCTCTGCATAATATTGCAGCTATGATTAAATGTAATGTGTTATCTCTTTAGAGTGAGATTGTAATATACATTCTTGTATTGGAAGTAAATTCTAAAATGTTTGTCTTATTTAATGTTAAACCACAGGGTGATCATTTTTACTCCATTCTAAATCATTTGTATGCATTTTGAAATTATTTTCTTGACTCTGTGCTTGAGCTTAATGGGTTTTTTTTCTTTTCTCTTCTTGTCATCATCATGAATTTTTATTTAAAAATATTTCCTGGTTTATTCTTTTTTAGTAATCATTTTTTATAAACTGATGAGCAAACTGTGTAAATATTGTGATTTTATACCTAGGGGCGGAAGATGAGACGCTGGAAGACTCAGAGTTGAGGGAAATATTTACAGGTATCATGTGGTATAGAGTTGTCTTTCCTGATGAGTGCAGAGTTGTACTGCGATGGAGACGAGGTTGTTTCAGACTGCTTTGTGTAGAATGCTCAGGCAATTCTTGTGGTCGGAATGGCAAAAACCTTATTATTATTGTTTTTGCAGGTTTATGGGCTTTGGTTTTATTTATTGAATTAAACTTTATAGCATTTCGGTGAAAAAGTTCTTTCAAATTTGCTTTAGGTTTGCATGATTTTTGCTAAAATATCAAATTTATAAGTGTTATCTACTTCTTTGAATAAAGAAGGAAACAATTGTTTAATAAATATTTAAAGACTTTGGTGAAGTCTAATTGCTCCCCTTACATGGAAGATAAATACATTTAAAAGCAAAAAATTACTAAGAAAAAAAGAAATTCATTAGTACGAGAAATTCAAATGCTATGTGAAATGCATGAGCATGCTATAGAATGAGTCTGAAATGCTGTGTGGCTCACCTTACTGGCTACACAGGTGTGGGCTTTCCCAATCTTCTGGCTTTTTTTGACACTTTGGCTTTGTCATCAGTTTGTTTTACTTCTTTTCATTACTTTTTTTACTTCTGTTGGAATTCTTTAATTTGATGTAGATTGATTTATTGCAGCTTTTGACTAACTTGTAAATGTTGCATCTAGTGCCAGCTTTCTAGAGGATAGAGGACGTTAACAGTTAACATTGTCCAGTAGGAAACATGACTAGTAATTGGTCAGTCGATGCTATTATACCTATAAGCCAATGAGATGTCAGATCATGGTCACATAGATTTCAATGCTTGATGCATTCTTATAAATAGGATGATCACTTACGTAAAATATATATTTGCCAAATCATTTGTGTCCGTTAATAATGATTGAAAGACAGCTTGAAACTTATGTAAATAACATTCGTTTGATTCAGCAACATATTTCATCATGCAGCATCTATCAGGAATGGTCGAATTCATGAGTAATGGTCAATGTCATCGGTAAAAGTCAAGGTCATCAGTAATGGTCAATATCATCGGTAAAAGTCAAGGTCATCAGTAATCATCAATATCATCGGTAAATGTCAAGGTCATCAGTAAAAGTCAAGGTCATCAGTAATCGTCAATATCATCGGTAAAAGTCAAGGTCATCAGTCTTCGTCACGGTCATCAGGAATGGTCAATTTCATTGATAATAGTCATGGTCATCAGTAATGGTCAAATTCATTTGTAATGGTTAAAGTCTAAGATTGCTCAACATGTAAACCATCTGTTCAATTTCACCTGTTGTATATTATTTAGCATCACATATAAACTTGATGTTATGCTAGTAATGTGATGTAACATAGCAATGAAACAGGAAGTTCCCAGTAATTCTAGTGATGCACTAATGTTGATATCACATGACAATGTCCTGAATATTGATTGGTTAATCATCAAACACCAGTAGGTGGTGTGAACGTTTTTTTTTATACTATCTCAGTACTACATGTCAGTGGGACATATCGAACAGGTAATACTAGATAATGTAACAGCTAGTCATGTACTAAACACTTCAATGTTGTCTGATGCTGAGATAAATATTATCTGCTGTGATCTTGTGGTGACTCAGGATGGAGTAGAGTGATCAGCCATGGAGCTGCTTCTTCTGTCTGACCTGAGCATAGTGAACGTGTAAATGTCTTCAACGTCAGGCAGAAAAAGCAATCCATGTACTAGTTACTTACATTTCCATCATTCAGAAGACTTATTGACTAACTGCTTACATTGTACACAGAATCTTTCATGATATGAATGGATATTTCATTGTCTTCTTGCTATTCATTAATCAGAAAATGTTTCAAAGAGAGTATTATTCATGTATTAGTTCCTCAAGAACTCTTTATGTAATTGTGTTATTTTCTGTTTGACTCTCTCCTTGCACACCTATGTTTGATGCTGTAGTGTGTTATACGACACTGTTGTGATCACACTACACAGTGTCCCTACACACCCTCAATGAAGAGACATGTCACACCAGAGAGGTGTGGCCCCCTCAATACACTCGCACAACTGTTTGACTCTCTCCATGCACACCTAGGTTAGATGTGAAGTGTGTTAGACACTTGTGATAACACTACACAGTGTCCCTACACACCCTCAATGAAGAGACATGTCACACCAGAGAGGTGTGGCCCCCTCAATACACTCTAACAACTGTTTGACTCTCTCCTTGTACACCTAGGTTAGATGTGAAGTGTGTTAGACACTTGTGATCACACTAAACACACTTGTGATCACACTACACAGTGTCCCTACACACCCTCAATGAAGAGACATGTCACACCAGAGAGGTGTGGCCCCCTCAATACACTCTCACAACTGTTTGACTCTCTCCTTGCACATGTACACCTATAGGTTTGATGTGAAGTGTGTTAGACACTGTTGTGATCACAGTTAACGCAGAGCCTCTTCACATCCTGGGGTAATTATAGACATGCAGCACCTGATAGGCATGGCCCCCATGATACAACACACTACATACCTACCCACTACTACCATCCTTGACAAAATAACACGCATCAATTCATTTCCCCCCCTCCTCCAGATTCATTTTCAATTTTCCGTACATAATCGTTCAAACAAAAGTTCATTTAAGTGTATTTGTGTAAATCTTGATCATTTGCTGTATAATTTATGAAATAGAGCAATATTCGAGAGCAGTCAAAAGATGGATATGTAAGGTCCACTCTTTGACAAGTACAACTACAATTGTTTGAATCCTCATTTCCGATTGGTTGTGCTTAGCTTTTGAGCAGGGTGAATTCTATAGTCTGATTGGTTGTTGAATGAGGTGAATCTTCATGCAAGACTGATTGGCTGTCGCGTTTGGGTGGAGGGGGAATTTAAACAATTTGGTGTATATTAATTTGCTTTATTTCTGAGGCTTTCAAATGCTCTTGTTTTGATGTTGAAATTTAGATTGTCCCATTATAAGACTATTGACTGTACATAACATAGTAGAGAGATTGATACATCATTTTCTGATTACTACATATCTTATTAACCATAACTGTTCTTATCAAATGATTTTCTATCTTTGAGAAAAAGCTTTTTAATGGAATAAAGTGTTTATGTCAATATCAATTTATTTTCGATAAATAAATGTATACTATATATGAATATTTTATATACAGTTATCTCATATATATTCCTCATATATTCACCATTAATGTTGCATGCGTTCAGTTTGATTTTACAGTGCCCTGGACAGATCATAAAGAGTAACCCAAATAATGTCATGTGTCACAAATGTGTATCTAACGTGATCCTTGTCATTTTTAGCTGCTCAGGTCTCTGAGGATGTTGTCGAGGCAATGACCAACACCGAGCATTCTGAGGGTCGGGCACGCAGCACGTCTCCCCTCGCACCTCATAGGGAATCTCAGGAGTTCAAAGAGGAGGACCTGGCTAGGGTACGACAGATGGCTGATCGGGGCGACTCCCCTCGTGTACCTGGTATCTCCATGGAAGTGTCAGAGGCTGAGCCCACACACCAGGAGGACAGTCCCAGGGAGGAGTTTACTGACTACCAGACACCTCAAAATGACAGGACAGCCAGTAGATTGAGTGATCCTTCTTCTGGTTAGTTTCCCTGATTAATTTCTACCTCACATTTATCCATACACATACTTAATTTACCTATGAATAATACTTCAATGTATTCCCTGCAGTCAAAAGTTAGTTGGGATTCCAGAACTAGGATGGTAACTGTTTCTATTTTGATCTACACTTCAGTCTTCAAAAAAATACAGCCAATGAAGTTTACTGCTGTTAAAGATCCATAGAGCTATTGAAGTTTTGTAGTTGTTCATTTGTAGATCTATTAAACAAATTTCTATTGAAGTCATAAACTATAGATCTATAAGCTGCAACAAGGTTGGATTTAACAAGGTTTTGGTGTACTTATATCTTTTACCTGCAATAATGTATGAATTATGTACCAACTTGAAACTCGCCTTATGTCTCCATTTTCTTCAATGCATTTGTAGACAAATAAATAAATAAATCTTTTCTCATAATTGTGGCCATTAACTAATATGCAAAGTGTTTTTCTGTATCAGATCAAGCAGAGGAGGAAGCAGCATCGCCTCAAGGAATGTCGATCTCGGATCAGCCACCGGTAGTCATGGCAACCTCTCACCAGTCACCGGTAGTCATGACAACCTCTCACCAGTCACCGGTAGTCATGACAACCTCTCACCAGTCACCGGTAGTCATGACAACCTCTCACCAGTCACCGGTAGTCATGACAACCTCTCACCAGTCACCGGTAGTCATGACAACCTCTCACCAGTCACCGGTAGTCATGACAACCTCTCACCAGTCACCGGTAGTCATGACAACCTCTCACCAGTCACCTGTAGCCATGGCAACCTCTCACCAGTCACCTGTAGTCATGGCAACATCTGACCAGTCACCTGTAGTCATGGCAACATCTGACCAGTCACCAGTAGTCACACCTCGCAGTTACAATGGAAGTGATGAACTCAACGGAGATGGCCAGGGTATGTACAATTCAAATTTCATCAAGTGTAAAACAGTTCTTTAATTACCAAAATTGATGCATTAGGCTCGTGTCTTACCAAAGATAGGTGCTTATATATATAGATAATAGATTCACTATAAGTGGAGTTAAGATAATTAACTTATCTGAAAGACACAAGAGATACACATATGGTTGCTGTCATTTTTGTTTGTTCATGATCAGAGCAGATCTTATGTAAATGTTTGACTATCTGCAAGCATGTCTTCATCATCCTTGTTTATCAAGAGCTTATTTGGTTTGTAGACCTTCCTGGGTCTGTAAAACTGATTTGGTTTGTAGACCTTCCTGGGTCTGTAAAACTGATTTGGTTTATAAACTGTACTAGGGGCTGTAGTCACGAAACCGTTCTCATGCTTAAACTCAGATTCTGTGCTCAAGCTCTTTTACTTGTTTTGTCGATAGATTAATATAAAAAAAAAATGATCAGTAATTTTTTGGAAGAAGTTAAGAAATCCAAACATCATTTTCAAAGGTTACGATCGACTTTATCCTCAGGTCACATGATTTAAGTGAGTTACAAAAAAGCTGGTTTTAGTACAGAATCCATGCTTGAGCAGGATATGGACTTTACATGAATATGGGTCCAGGTCTTGTCTTGATAGAATTCTGATTATATTCTTTTTTTTATTGCAGACCATCAACCAGTACAACATGGGAGTCCAAGAGTAAGTTTGGACTTTAATTCTTTGGTAAAGGTTAATTAAGAAAGGACAAATGTTAAAATTCTGTGGTATTTTCATAACCCCATTTCATATTTTCTCTACCCTTTCTTTGTGAAAGTCATCGAAAATAAAGTTATTAGGTTTTCATTCAAGTGACTTATTGTAATTGCCTTTAGCTTGTTGTCATATGCTTCTGTAAACAGACATATTTTCTCCTCAGATTTTCCTCAGAAAGTTAGTCTGTCAGGTTTTGATCATCTGTCTGTGTTTAAAGTACCACAATCTACACTCTGGAGGGTTACCTGGTAACCTCCCTAGGAACCTCCCCTAGGGAGCTTAGGGCAGAGCCTTAAGGTGTCACAGACTGTAAAGCTTTACAAAGACATCTCTTCTTTTTAATAAATGATCTTGACGATGAGGGTCATATGTTGTAACTCTAGAAGGGACTGACCCCGATGAAGGGTCGGGTAGAGCAAATTACCTTCATAAAACTTTCATCATTTAGGCTAAACTTTCATTAAGTGATTCCGCTCTTAAATGATAAAATTAAGATATCATACCCAAGAGGGCTTACCCCAAGGGGAAGGGGAGCAGGGTCATTTAGGGGTCATGTAGACAGTGTGAATCATTCAATAGATCCATAGATGATAAGGATCATAATTTAGTCTCCCAGAGCAACCTGACCTCCTGAGGAAGCCGAGGTCAAGAAGTGCAAAATCTTTAAATGACATTCTATAAGTTACTAGTGGATTAAGACAAAACTTTTAAGACATTATTCTTAGTTGATAAGGATTAAAAAAGGCTGACACCATACAATAATTATCTCCCTTTACAGGCAAGGCCCCGTCCAGCCCCTCGAGGAGACCGACCCATGTCAGATCATCTTGGGACTGAGGAGGCTGACCATGGGGACGAGGATAAGAAGGGGAAGAGGCGAAGTGTGTTTGGTTTCCTCAAGAAGAAGAAGGATAAAGACCACGAAGAACACAAAGAGCACAAAGAGCACAAAGAACACAAAAAACACAAGAAGGACAAAAAATCTGATACGTAGTCTTCACACCGAATCACAAGGCTAAGATATACATAGGAAAGGATGAGGTGTTTCCTAGCAAAGGACAGCTACAGGGTCAAAATGTCCAGCACATTGTGACAAGTTGTCTAAATGCCTGAAACAAAACTGGAACATCACAAAGATATGACAATAAATGACTGAGTACTACAGAGTTACAACCTATAACACAAATATAGTATGAAAGTTGCAAGATACTCTACGGGTTGATGATTAAAGGTAGAAAATCCTGTATTGTTACAAGGTAGATAGAACAAGTGATAAAGGTGTGAGAGAAACCGACTCAGGTGTGACAAGGTGAGAACGCACCTTCATTGCTTTTTATCCCCAAGGTAACATTTGTGTTCAATAGATTAGGTTTTCTTAAATATTTAGCTGAAGGGTTAAAGACCATTTGGTCAAGAGTTTTTCATCTCAGCTGATTTTATGACAGATATTATGCATTTGTTCATAAAATCAACTTTTAAGACTATATATATGATTTAGATAGTTTAAGCAATTAATACCTAAATATTCTCTCATATTGTTAAAGGTGTAGAAGTTTCATAGTGCTTGTTGTTTTGTCCCTTACAAATGAATGTGTCTGCAGCTTTGAGTGTCAGTAGTGGACAAGAGACAGTAGATACAGTAGTTTGGGTCAGACTCAGCATCTTAGTTTTGAGTTTTCTATATACTCTATACATTATTAATGTATCAAAGGGATGAACAATAGTCTGGCTAACCATTCAGGCAGGTCAGTAGAGGTGACTCAGGTTGTGAGGGAAACAATTTAATTCCAGTACAAGAGCACTAATAAATATTGAATTGTGGATATAAAGGTTTGTTATATGAAGTTGTCTGTTATAATATATTTGATATGTTATGAAATATCACACAATATGCTATGCATACCAATAAGAACTTTTCTGAAACATTACTATTGTATATTATTTTGTGTTTGCTAGAAGTACTGCCAGTGGTGTCGTTGATAAAGAGAGCATACTCTCTGTCTGTGGTACCTTACTGGTGGGGTTGTATGGCACCTTCTCATTGGGACAATGTTGTACGATACCAGTAGGATTTAGCCATGAGGGCTGTGGTGGACTGGTATGACTGGTATCAGGAACTGCTTATTAAAAGTTGGATATCTTACGAATAAAACAACACGTCATGATATTCTGTGTTTGTCTTTAAAAATCCTGAATTCTATAAACAACTTTGGTATTTAATGTGGTTTAGAGATTGACCCCTGAGGACAAAATCCCAGAAATATTTTGATTTACACAAAAAGAAATTTACATCGAAAAATTGTGATCTCATTAACTAACAAGAGCAAGGTCCTTTGCCTGTTAACTGTTGCCAGATGTATTACACACCGGAGGTTACTTGTATCATACAGCTTTACATTTATAAAGACTGCTGTTAGTTTTCTGATATTGAATGTAAAATTTACAACTCATTATTATTGCTTAATGTTGTCTATTACAAAGAATAAGAAAATAAATGACTATTTTTGATAAATTATTATGAACTGTATGCAACAAATCCATCCTTTCAATTCATATATGCTGTTTTTCATCACTATAATAAATTATGCATTTCATATTCATAATGGCAAACAAATAAATCTGTTAAGTTTTAATTCCTTTAAAATTTTAGGAACGAGTATAAGCAATATGAGTACTAACTGTGATTTTCAAAAACCAGATTTACTTTGCACACGTCTTAAGCCTTTATGGGACCAAGATACAATTTTACATACAGTGTATATGTTCAAAACATTGATGGGACCAAGACAACTTTTCATAAATGGCTGAAACTTACTGGCATCAAGGAAACTTTTTGCACATGTCTTGAGACACTGTTGTAAAAAATATGTGTATTTTATTTATGCTGTATTGTTTCATAAAAATGTAAACACTTATTTATGAGAATGTAATGACACAAAAAGGTGACTTGGAGGTCATGTGTAGGTGTTATGTAAAAAAGGGATATGTGTTGCGACAAAGAATTGGGCATATGGAATGATAATTTTATCTAAACCAAAAATCTGAAGTGTTTTTTATCTTTATATTGCATATAAGTATATGTCAATTAAATAGCTTTTTGTTTATTTCAATGAAATAGATGATTATAGAAACTAAAATAGATATACATCAAAGTACATGCACTCCCATGACATGTTTACTATCTGGGAAGGGATGTAATGGACAATGTGCCTAATCCACAATAAAATTGATTTGAAATGAAATAATGTTCACTATACGAATGTGCAGAGGATATTGGGTTCAATAGACTACTAGTAGAAAATATGTTATTTCCAAGTTATTATGTCGTATATTTATGTCTTTATATTTACTTCATTGTGCTACATCTGTCCTTTTATAAAGGCAATTACAGTCCAATCTTGTAGAATTGGATTTTTTTTAGAGGTCATGAATCGAGACAAGGTGGGAAGGTTAACAAAACATTTCTTAAAGGTGCTACACCTTACTTAGACGAATTCTGATGTTGGGAGTACTTTTCTCTGTGTATAGGGATGCATGTTTTATATATAAATATATTTATACATTGTGAATTGTCTCATGATAATTTTGTTCCAATGGGAACCTTGATATTACTGGATGTTGTTGGATAGTACATTAAGCCCAGGTTGTGAAATCCACTTATGATACCGGTCAAGTTCTTACAAGTGGGAAGAAACCAGGCTCAACTTATATATTCTACAGGTCTCAAAGGATTGGTCTTTTATTCGATTAACTGATTTTTATTTTTTTTTGATCTTCGACACTATTAGGAAAAAAAAGATTACTGGTAAATCAGATTTGAAATTTTGTTACTGGCATTTACATAAGACACATACGAGCTGAAATCATACCTGTACAATTGTGATAGACAGAGGGGACCAAACATGGTGGGTGATACAAGGCTTGTCCTACAGTTGTTCTATCTTATAAGGTCACAGGTCACCTGTTTACTACTTGTTCAGTTTTGTTTGTTTATGTTTCATGTTAGTGGAATAGATTTCTTGTTTTGAATGTAACAGTGCTGAAAGTATTCCCGAGTCAAACTACGTATCTTACCATGTAATTTTGGTATTTAATTTTATGTACTGTTTAGTGTTTATGATTTATCTCTCAATACTTATTAATCACATTTAAACGATATTCATCTTGTGGTGTCCCTGTGCCGATCGAGAACAATTTCTGATGTACCTATAAAGAAACTGTTGGTGTGTGTATAACGTTTACCTGTAATCAATATATATATATATATACATATGAACAGTCTGAATGTTAACTGTGTGTATACCTGTATATTACACCTGTGATTAAATCCACAATTTACCTACTCTGTGATTTAGGGGTGTGACCGAAGTATACTTTCCCTCATCCATCATGGATCTGATTCATTGTCCGTAGGACCGCTTATACTCGTTCAAACAATTCTGTATGAATCGTTTTAGGTGGTGTTTTTTTTATCCCTTTAGCCTTATATAATACATTATAATACATTTCATTATATGGCATTAATTTATAGGTGTAAAGTTTAATGTATACCACACTATTATTAGTATAGCTCAGAAAAATAGGATATACTTACAATATTAGAACTATTACCATATATCACAGATGCCAAAATAACATGTGTATGAGAGTAATAAGTACATATATAAGATTATGCATTGCAGTATTGCTATAGTGTAAATACTACAGTTTCATTTATATACCGGACTAACATTGTTACAGTTCACAAAAGCAATAAATTGTAATAAAACTATTAAACAAGTGTATTGTCTTTTCTTACAGAAATATGGTTGTGTTTTAAGCTATTGTAAATTTATAATTCACCAGAATCTTATTACTTAACATTATTATGTGATCTAGTATTTTGAAACACTATACATTTGATAATGTATCCCACTTTGTTTCAAATATTTCTGGGTCAGGTAAACACTGGCTGGGTACTGGGACAGGTGTGTGTAGATAACCTCCCCTAAAACACTGGCTGGGTACTGGGACAGGGGTGTGTAGATAACCTCCCCTAACACACTGGCTGGGTACTGGGACAGGTGTGTGTAGATAACCTCCCCTAACACACTGGCTGTGTACTGGGACAGGTGTATGTAGATAACCTCCCCTAAAACACTGGCTGTGAACTGGGACAGGTATGTGTAGATAACCTCCCCTAAAACACTGGCTGTGTACTGGGACAGGTGTGTGTAGATAACCTCCCCTAATACACTGGCTGTGTACTGGGACAGGTATGTGTAGATAAACTCCCCTAACACTGGCTGGGTACTGGGACAGGTGTGTGTAGATAACCTCCCCTAAAACACTGGCTGGGTACTGGGACAGGTGTGTGTAGTTAATCTCCACTAACACACTGGCTGGGTACTGGGACAGGTGTGTGTGTAGAGAACCTCCCCTAAAACACTGGCTGGGTACTGGGACTGGTGTGTGTAGATAACCTCCCCTAAATCACTGGCTGGGTACTGGGACAGGTGTGTGTAGATAACCTCCCCTAAAACACTGTCTAGGTACTGGGACAGGTATGTGTAGATAACCTCCCCTAACACACTGGCTGGGTACTGGGACTGGTGTGTGTAGATACCCTCCCCTAAAACACTGGCTGGGTACTGGGACAGGGGTGGGTAGATAACCTCCCCTAAAACACTGGCTGTGTACTGGGACAGGTGTGTGTAGATAACCTCCCCTAACACACTGGCTGGGCACTGGGGCAGGTGTGTGTAGATAACCTCCCCTAAAACACTGGTTGGGTACTGGGACAGGTGTGTGTAGATAACCTCCCCTAACACACTGGCTGGGGACTGGGACAGGTGGGTGTAGATAACCTCCCCTAACACACTGGCTGGGTACTGGGGCAGGTGTGTGTAGATAACCTCCCCTAAAACACTGGTTGGGTACTGGGACAGGTGGGGGTAGATAACCTCCCCTAAAACACTGTCTAGGAACTGGGACAGGTATGTGTAGATAACCTCCCCTAACACACTGGCTGGGTACTGGGACAGGTATGTGTAGATAACCTCCCCTAACACACTGGCTGGGCACTGGGGCAGGTGTGTGTAGATAACCTCCCCTAAAACACTGGTTGGGTACTGGGACAGGTGTGTGTAGATAACCTCCCCTAAATCACTGGCTGGGTACTGGGACAGGTGTGTGTAGATAACCTCCCCTAAAACACTGGCTGGGTACTGGCGACCTTGCAAACCTTGCGACACATTTAATAGGTGCATTATTTGTGTATAAAGTAAAAAAAATATGTTTGTGAAAAACTTGTATTTAAAGCACCTGGTTGCCTTCCTCAGAATTAGAATTGTTACAATTAACAGAGGTCATAAACTAGAGTATTGGAAGTAACCTATCAATGTTATAGTAATATTGTAACTTCACCACTTCAGTAATGTGGCCTAGAAATGTCAAGATTTTTTAAATTATTCAGAAAAATACATGAAGGTGCGTGTTCAAAGACTTTCTACCCCCCCCCCCCCCCCCACAAAAAAAACCCCCAAAAACCTATCGACATAACCCAAGGGTGGTTGGGAGGCTGTTTCTTCAGTCTCCGTAAGTAATGTGGCTGTGGGATCCGCAGGTCATTTCAAATAGTTTTATATGTTATCGAAGATATGCACATAAAATAGACAGGTTATATTACGACACCAGTCGAATTTTAGTGACGGTGCGTGATTTTGAAACGGACTATATCAGGAGTGGTCTTTGAGCATTGGGTAACACAGAACAACGGAGACATTCTTTAAAGGGACTCGGAAACTTTTACAGACGTTTGTGCTGGGGGTGATATTCTGGTAGCCAAGTATGGGACTTCAAGACGGGTCAGACATATCTTTCGTGTACGGTAACTGGACAGAAATCTACATTTTTTCCTCCTTTGTGAACATTCATTGTGTAACATTTCCTTATTCTAGTCGGGATAACCAATACAAGGACGTCTTTAGGGCGTTCACGGACAAAGCCAATATTCCTGAACTGGAATTACAGTGACTGTGGCTAATGTCGCCCGTCTTTATCAAAGAAGATGCGAAAATTCCTCGCAAACTGCACAACCTTTTACCAGCAGAAAGCTGGAATGGGGGTATGCTCTTTTTCTGATGTTTTCAAGTAGTCACAGTGGAGTTCTCATTGGTCTTTGCTCATTTTAGCGAATTTGCTGACACAGACTCTGCTGTCTAAAAGGCGTGTTTCAAACTGAGAAATGATCCCAGTTTTGTGTGATCTTATGTAAACTAGGCTGTCATCAGCGTAACAATCTGAAGAACTTGGTGTTTGCGACCGATGTACCCATCGGTTTCGAATATATATCGTGCATTCTTGGTCCAAGCAAAGATCCTTGTGGACCACCAAAATCCGGAGTGTTGTCATCCGATACAGCGCTGCCAAATAGGACTTAGTCCAGGAGAACGTCCCAAGGGCTTGAACCATTTGCCATGATCAACGGCATCAAATGCAGAAGATAGGTCAAATAGTACTAGAACTGTTGATCAGTTGATTTCAAAGGCCACGGCATTGCCATAGTGTACTCTCAGAAGAGTCGTTTCTGTTTAGAAGCATGGACGGTAAGCAGATTTTAGGGTGTCGCAGAGAAAACCTTCATCGGGATGTTCCCCTAGTCGTTTGTTCCGTGATTTTAGACAAGAAAGACAGGTTATGGACAGGATGGAACACTGGACTTAGGCTACTGGGTGCTCTTAATGGGGCAGCTTATAATTATCGGAAGGAGCTAACATTTTACACACTGTTTCAAAAGATACGTTTGGATAGGATCAAGTTCACAAGACTGAATTGGAAACTTTGTAATAATACTGGGTAACTCCTCGTTCTTACTTTGCTCTAACTAAAAAAGGTGCTCACCGTCAAATCCAATATCAGTCGGCGTAGACGCAGTATCAGTGTCAATTGAGGAATGGATCTCGCTGTGCTCAGTTTTAAAACAAAAATAGTTTGTCAACGAAAAACCAGCTAAAATTCGCCGTATATCACGGAACGGAAAGTTGGGCCGGTATAGTGGGCATCCACAAGTCATTATTCATGAAACCATTCTCATGCCAAAGCATGGATTATATTGTGCTCAAACTAACTTTCTTGTAGCTCGCTTAAATCCTATGTCATGTTAAAAAAAGTAAGGTGTAACTCCTGAAAACAATGTTCTGCTTCAAACCTCTCTCGAATTCTTCCAAATTATTGATTATAGATTTATCAACGGGTCAAGAAATTGGACTTGAGCACAAAATCTGAGTTTGTGCATGAGAAAGGTTTCATGGGTACGGGCCCTGGTGTTCCTCTCTCATCGAGCCGTTCCGATAATAGTAGAAATCACATACTGTCCGTTTGGGAAATGCTCTTCATGACGCACGTGTTGGACAGACAAGTATCAAAGAAACCTGATTAAATATCAAACTTCGATGCAACCATCAATTTTATCAAGCACGTCGGAAGTTTATGGGTCTGGAACTTTTTCACTAAATACAAGTGCATATAACAGAGCAACGAAAAGCGTATTTTTTTTCACATCAACTTCGCCACAGATGTCGGGTAATCCAACTGCTGCCATAGTGACAATAGTATTGGTGACCTCTTTTCGAAACCTTGACATGTGCGAGCAACGGTTCGTATAGTGATACGGAGTTCCTCGCGCGAGCGTGCTTTGGATTCACCCATAACTCAACACTTTTGCGATTGCACTATTGCTTCAACGAGTTTGCATGTGGCAGACTATGGTTCCTGGTTGTACCGTTTCGTTCCGATTCCTTCACTTATCAGTGCAATCAATGGCTGTCTCTTTGGCTAACGATCGAACGTTTAATGTTTTTGTCAGTTCGACTAGACATCACTTGTCCACTAAAACAATACGGCCAATGACCCTTAGTGACAATAACAGTTGAAAATTAAAAAAAATATCATTTTACAACCAGTAGGAAACAAATCCTACAAACCTATATGGAAGCATTGACGTACGTGCGCAGGGGGTCTGAAACAAACTTGTTAGGAAGCTTAAGCAAACTAACACTACTGGCAAATATCATGATTTCTACGCCTTATGAATCTTTGTTGAAACTTATTTATCCGTGTGACCTTCAGAATTTTATTTCATTGAAAAAGAAATGACAGTGGGATATCCCAGCAAGCTACACGACAAATGCTGCTACTGTAGGAACCGGTAAAAACAAAAGTGTCGTTACAATTTTTCACAAATTTGATCCTCGAGAAAGTGTCATAGTGACTGGTCACCCTGGTCAAAGTCATAAACATAAACATAGACCTATTGGATATTCAGAAGACGCGGTTTTATGACGCAGTATTAAGTAGAACTAATCCTCAACAAATACTCGTGTCGCTTCCTCATATGCCGTTGAGTTACATTTCGGCAGGGAACTTTATCAAAAAAGTGAATTAGAATTTTATTTTATTTTTTAATTGAGAAGAAATTAATTTAAGCGTAGCTATAATAACCTAATGATGAGCTGAAAATGAAACAGTTGAGTTTTTGTAGAAGATTTTTTAGTATTTTAAATTAATGACTTAGTTATCGGTACCAGGTTATTACAAAAGGTACAAAAGTATTAAGCTAGTAAGGAATGACACCATAGAAAAAGAGACAACTCATCGTAGATCAATAAGAAGTGAAATTTATCTTTCACATCAGGGTAGTTGTAGTTCCCTATAAATATTAAATATCTCCCCTTCTGTCTCAAAAATATGGACCAAGTTGGATTTCTACCTTTTTTGTCGACAGCATCATGATTCCTAGAAGGACGAAACAGCTGTATAGTGCAGTGTAATTCACGTTTGGCATGCTGTATATATTACCTGTGCAGGTACTATTATGTGTGTGTGTGTGTGTCACGTTCGTCTTTCGAGCTGCTCGTCTCTAGGGACAGAGTGTATGTGTAAAAGTGCGTGTTCTGGTGAGATAGATTCGTACGTTACAAGAGTTTATATATATACTTGATGAGAAGAAATACATGTTATTGTAGAGACAACCTGTTTTCCAAGAGATGATTTGTATAAAGCATTTTGGTGCCATACATTGTATCTATTATAGAAGCTCGTATTACCGATTCATCTTGATACTGAAATCTTTATTCCGCATCCGACACAAATACATTTAATCAAAATAATAACAGACTCTGTACGTACTAAATCTGTCACCAAAGATAAATAGTAATAATGTTAATAGGTGTGGTCTGAATGAAGATCTGGATCTAAAATGAAAGTAGAACGATTTACATGCAATCATGAGCTCGAGGGGTGTGTATGATTCCAACCAATCACTCGCCAGGCACGAGATATTATAAAAGCCGGGGACGTGACCTTCCGTAACGTGTCTCCGGTGATTTATCAAACAATGCGAGTTGTTCCGAAGTGGACGAAGTTTTGACAAGATTGGCAAAGTTGTAGTGAGAAGCGAAGCAAGAACCATGTCTGCCGACCAAGCTACAAAGCATGTCGCTGTCATTGGCGGGGGACTGGTAAGGATATAAAACCTGATATTGTAGCGTAGGCACTGTGGGTACTAATCTACAAACTTGTCATCAAGCACAGCTTATTGAGATTGGCAGGAGGACGTCCAACAACCCCCAGGTGCTGGACACTGATATAATGTGTATATAGATACAGAGACGTATATAACACATGGCTTTATACGTCTCTGATAGATAGTACTATCAAATAGTATACATGTATGTACACATTGTTTGTTTCCCCTTTACCTACCTACCCACCAAATATCCCTACCCAAAATATTTTATAAACATTTTCCAGAAAGATTTTTTTTTTTTCTTTCATTTTTTTTGTTAATTGTTTAAAAACAAATCATCCTTCTACTACTGGTGTCCTCGGGTTACAGGATTTCCGCGCACTTAAGAAGCAACCGCGATTTCGTACTCATATCGGCAGAAAACTGTTGAAATTACGAATGACTGTCATAAACATGTATACAATCTTCTAATCTCTACAGTGACCTGCAAGAACAAAAGCTTCGTTTGGAATAAAAAAAATATCTTTGATCGTCAAATTAATTATCAAAACATTTTTTTTAAATCTCACGTTTTTAATTGATTTTTCAAGATGTCAAATTGAACGAAGTCATGTAATTTTATAAATTTATATAGAATCTGTTATTATTTTTTATCTGCAGTCTTATATCGGTTTTGGTTGATGGTAAGTTATTTCTCATTTTGTTCTGTTTAAAATTGGTGAAAATTGGAAGTTCATTACATTACAAGGTTTACGTTTCATTGAAAACACTGTTTATCGATATAAGACTGTCTTCTTCGCTCTTCGGAAGTGGAAAAGAATTGACGAGGAGATGTGGCCTCATTTGCATACGACATTTTCGTACGTTTGTCCAGGGACTGTATTCACTATATGTCCCTGGTTTGTCAAACTACAAAAAAGACCGGTTCATGAATGAAATATATCACCGTTTTTCAGGTATGGGCTCATTTTGAGTAAGATAAAAGGTGCATTAAGCAAAACTGCATATTTATGCATGTTTTTTAATCAGTGATTAATTCTTATGTTTTCCGGACGAACTTCAGGTAATTTTTGTGTCAGTTTACAGACGATGGGCAAACGTCTAAAATATCCTTGTGTTGTGTCCAGCAGGTCACGTAGTTACGAGATATAGCTTGATAAAATGGCTGCACGGAAATACATAACGCGCGGAAACTGATGACAAGACGATATTCTGTTTGAATTTTAAGTTACTACTTGCAGTATAACTAAAAGCAAAATTGAAAAATGTAATAATTTCCCTACCTACCCATGCTTTTATGATTTGGGTCAGTAAAAGTGAAACAAACAATAATTTAACATAGGCCTAGTATTTACATGTGAATATATTGTATATGTGATGTAGTAATATAATTATGTTGTATTATGTGATAAGATGTGATATAATATATATATTGGATATAGGATATAACATATGTAAGATGACTGATGTACATGTAGTATTGTAGAAAGTATTACATTGTATGACGTGATGCGTAATACACAGTATAAAGTATTACATTGTATGACGTGATACGTAATACACAGTATAAAGTATTACATTGTATGACGTGATATGTAATATACAGTATAAAGTATTACATTGTATGACATGATATGTAATACACAGTATAAAGTATTTCATTGTATGATGTGATATGTAATACACAGTATAAAGTAGTTCATTGTATGACGTGATATGTAATGCACAGTATAAAGTAGTTCATTGTATGATGTGATATGTAATATACAGTATACAGTATTACATTGTATGACGTGATATGTAATATACAGTATAAAGTATTACATTGTATGATGGGATATGTAATACACAGTATAAAGTAGTTCATTGTATGATGTGATATGTAATACACAGTATAAAGTAGTTCATTGTATGATGTGATATGTAATACACAGTATAAAGTATTACATTGTATGACGTGATATGTAATACACAGTATAAAGTATTACATTGTATGATGTGATATGTAATACACAGTATAAAGTATACATTGTATGATGTGATATGTAATACACAGTATAAAGTATACATTGTATGCTGTGATATGTAATATACAGTATTACATTGTATGATGTGATATGTAATACACAGTATAAAGTATACATTGTATGATGTGATATGTAATACACAGTATAAAGTATACATTGTATGATGTGATATGTAATACACAGTATAAAGTATACATTGTATGCTGTGATATGTAATATACAGTATTACATTGTATGATGTGATATGTAATACACAGTATAAAGTATACATTGTATGATGTGATATGTAATACACTGTATAAAGTATACATTGTATGATGTGATATGTAATACACAGTATAAAGTATACATTGTATGCTGTGATATGTAATATACAGTATAAAGTATACATTGTATGATGTGATATGTAATATACAGTATTACATTGTATGATGTGATATGTAATACACTGTATAAAGTATACATTGTATGATGTGATATGTAATACACTGTATAAAGTATGACATTGTATGATGTGGATTGCCACTAGGCGCCATCTTGGATTAAATTTTGATAGTTGAAGTTTGGAATTGCCACTTCTCAGGAAGTAAATTACTGGTTATTAACTGCATTTCGTGTAGATCAGTATACATCCTGTTCCATCCTGATTTATGTGTGCTGCTATATATATATTCAATCCATTTGTTTCCTTATTCTTTATCAGTATCTTTATTTACACAGCTGTTGAAGTATGTTGATATCTCCTAAGACATATTTTCCCAAACACTCAAGATGATTCACTGATTTACATTTTATTCTTGAAATTTCATTTTACCAATTTGTTATATGTGGAATAGAGAATCAGTTGGGCAAGTAGTGTGCCAGAGAAATGCCCTACAGGCAAGTAACATTTTTGTATGTGAAGTTTTATCAAATTTGGATTTGTAAAGGTCAGCCTATCTAACAGTGTTAGTCTTCCAGTATTTACCAGTCATCTGAGAGCTTTTATGAGCCTTCCAGTATTTACCAGTCATCTGAGAGCTTTTATTAGCCTTCCAGTATTTACCAGTCATCTGAGAGCTTTTATTAGTCTACCAGTATTTACCAGTCATCTAAGAGCTTTTATTAGTCTACCAGTATTTACCAGTCATCTGAGAGCTTTTATAAGTCTACCAGTATTTACCAGTCATCTGAGAGCTTTTATTAGTCTACCAGTATTTACCAGTCATCCGAGTGCTTTTATTAGTCTACCAGTATTTACCAATCGTCTGAGTGCTTTTATTAGCCTTCCAGTATTTACCAGTCATCTGAGAGCTTTTATTAGTCTACCAGTATTTACCAGTCATCTGAGTGCTTTATTAGTCTACCAGTATTTACCAGTCATCTGAGTGCTTTTATTAGTCTAACAGTATTTACCAGTCATCTGAGTGCTTTATTAGCCTTCCAGTATTTACTAGTCATCTGAGTGCTTTTATTAGTCTAACAGTATTTACCAGTCGTCTGAGTGCTTTTATTAGCCTTCCAGTATTTTCCAGTCATCTGAGTGCATTATTAGCCTTCCAGTCTTTACCAGTCGTCTGGGTGCTTTTATTAGTCTTCCAGTATTTACCATTCATCTGAGTGCTTTACTAGCCTTCCAGTATTTTCCAGTCATCTGAGTGTTTTATTAGCCTTCCAGTCTTTACCAGTCGTCTGGGTGCTTTTATTAGTCTACCAGTATTTTCCAGTCATCTGAGAGCTTTTACTTGTCTACCAGTATTTACCAGACATCTGAGAGCTTTTATTAGCCTTCCAGTATTTACCAGTCATCTGAGAGCTTTTATTTGTCTACCAGTATTTACCAGTCGTCTGAGTGCTTTTATTAGTCTTCCAGTATTTACCAGTCATCTGAGAGCTTTTATTACTCTACCAGTATTTACCAGTCACCTGAGTGCTTGAAAATGACATGTATTGCAGGTATAGATATATTTAACATGTCATTCAAATAGCTGTCATATTTTACTGTGGAGTAAATGTTACGTCATGAATATTTAAACAAGTGGATTTAAACACTCTGAGCAAATGGCTTATTGTTGCATTGCCTTGAATGTTTTCTGTGTCACAATGTTTTTTTGTTAATGTGGGATGTGGCCATTTTGTCTCATTTTTGGAATGTATCTGGGAGGGACATTTTCAGGAGCAAACTGCAAACTTTGGGAATTAGGCATACCGTATATATTTTAAACATAAAATAGATTCGATTAGGAATGGGGCCCATTATTGTCCCTAAAAGTCGCCAGAAAGAGCACTGTAACATCATTCTAAACTGGCCATTGTTTACGACCACTGCTGTTATGTAACAATCCTCTGTAGCAACTAACCTATCTTACTTCTGTCTCATGCTAGTGCCTTGTGTAGCCATACCAATATACCGGACATAGAACTTGTGACCAGAGTAAACTATATGGGATTTTTTAGCTAACAAGACCTGAACAACACTACAGTGGGTAAGAGATGGTCCCTGTTCTGAAAAAACAATCCTATCTAAGTTCATATGCATAGAAAGCCAAATATGTGATACTTGAGAGTTTGTATACCTGGATATTTATAGGTAGACACAAGGTTGTGTTATAGGTAGACACAAGGTTGTATAATAGGTAGACGCAAGATTGTATAACAGGTAGACACAAGGTTGTGTTATAGGTAGACACAAGGTTGTATAATAGGTAGACACAAGGTTGTATAATAGGTAGACACACGGTTGTATAATAGGTAGACACAAGGCAGTGTTATAGGTAGACACAATGTTGTATAATAGGTAGATACAAGGTTGTGTTATAGGTAGACACAATATTGTATAATAGGTAGATACAAGGTTGTGTTATGGGTAGACATAAGGTTGTGTTATAGGTTGACACAAGGTTGTGTTATAGGTAGACACAAGATTGTATAATAGGTAGACACAAGGTTGTGTTATGGGTAGACATAAGGTTGTGTTATAGGTAGA